TTATATGTGTAAAATTATCTGAATTGAGAGAGTTCGGGAAATGGGTGAAAGCTCTGTGATAGTGAGTATTACAAGTAATAAGCACAAGAAAAGAACGGAATTAAAATGGTCAAACAAAACTCTTTAAAAATAAAACAAAAGAGAAGCTGATAGGCCTAAGTGACAAGTCCGTGAAAAAAAAAAAAAAAAAAAAAAACTGGCGCGAGCTGTGCTGCTGCTCGTCTCAGCCATTCACTGAACAAGGTAGACGCCGTTAGAGAGAGAGAGACGGCCGGGAGAAGGCAAGACCTCGCGCTCGCAGTACTGGCAACATCTGGAGATTACTGACGTTTGTGTGAAAAGTCGCTAGATATGTCGCTAGTCGCTTTTTAAAAAAAATGTCGCTAAAGGGGTCTGAAAAGTCGCTAAAAATAGCGACAAAGTCGCTAAGTTGGCAACACTGCCTACAGCCCCTTCTTTTATACGCTAAGCCACGCCCATTCTGACGGGCTGTGACGCTATGAAGGCGCGAGCGCCCTTCATTGGGCGTGACGTCACGCGGGGCTCACTGGTATGCTGCAGCAGATGCCAGCAGGGCAGCCAATGAGCACGCGAGATGGCCTGCTCTAGGTCTGCTAGCTGCTGCACTGCGTTGACAATGAATACAAAATTAAGGATAATTTTTTGGCTTCAATATCTCGAGAAGATGAATCTTTCCCGTAGCGTAAGCTAAACTTACGCAATACGAGAGAACCTCTCGTAAGAGAACTATCAAATGACACAAATACGTACCTGGTATAGAATCTAATGTCATCGTCCGATGCTGAAAACCTCTCCAAGCCAAACGACTGCTTCAGTGTAACTTCTTCCAGCCTCTTTTGCAGCTCTTCTATCAGCAGCTGCTGGGCCTTTATTTTCTCATATGCTATATCCAACGCTGATGGTTCTGGTTTTGCATTGTAATCGTGGCACTGAAGCAACAATTCAACATCCATGTTTTCCTTTTCAGTTCCTCATCCTCCGGTCGTGGACTTCTTCTCTCCCAGACACTGGCTGCCGGTAAAGAAAGAGTAATCGTTCCAGGCCATCAACACAGGCACAGCCCCCCCCCTCTCTCAGGTGTCGTCGCCCACCCTGAATAACATCCGTGGAAACGAAATGTTTACTACAGACTGCCGTGGTCCTCTTAACTACCAAATTCTCACGTCTCACATTACGCATCCATATTTTCCTTAAGGTTTCTGTGGATTTCATTAGAGGAACAGCTGTCATATTATTATAGGATAATGTCCAATTTAACGCACCCTCTGAGGCGGCTGAGAAAAAGCGCCGCGCAATGGGTAGAAAATGCAATAGGCGGCTCATTGTGCATTGTGTAAAGTGCAAAGTTCAAAGCTTCATAAAAAAAATTCCACAGTAGTAATTGCTCAAATTTTGCTTTTCGTTAGAGGAGTAGCTCTATAATGTAGGCTACTCATGTCCATTTTAACGCACCCTCTGAGGCGGCCGAGAAACGCCGCGCAATGGGCAGAAAATGCAGTTGAAATCAAAACGGCAACTTCTCCTATGACTGCATTATCACATCTGTCAACTTCATGGGTGCATATTACTGCATAACTTCAAAATGCTACTGTAAAAATGTCTAATCTTGTGCAGGGTGACAGTCAAGCACAATGGGTATAAGGCCCCAGTGCAACTTTTAACGCACACTCAAACACAGCTGAGATATAGAGCCCCCAATTGAGCCAACAATGCAATGGCTCTTCTACCTGTACTATGTCAACTTCATGGGTCCATGATTTCAAAGTTATACAGTAAAAATATCTGAAATTGTGCATGATTATATTCAAGCACAGATGCAGGGTAAAAAGCATTATGAAACCAAATGGGCCAAATGTCAGATTGGGTCCATAAACCATGCAATGGCACTTTTAAGTCAATTCAATTTAAATTCATACATTCATTTGTATAACCCTTTTCACAATACATATAATTTCAAGGCAGCTTTACAGAAAATGCAGGTTTATATGTTACAAAACCACAATAGGATTTAATGAGATGATACCATAAGATACCACAAATTATAGTATTTACAAATACCATATATGCATCTAAGCAAAATTAATGTGTATGTTAAAGCAATTATAAAATGATCATTTTGTATAATCATTCATGTTTGGTGTTCTGGAGTCCTTTGCAAGGGTAGGTTTGATCTATTCAAAGGTGCTGGGTCATCTGAAGTCTTCATAAGAGGCTGGATCCAAGCTGGACTATAATCTCTGGTTACCTTGTGAAATTCTAATTTGTAATAATAATAGTAATAGTAAAAAAAAAAAAAAAAAAAAAATGTATTGAATACATTCAAATGATGTTATTTGCAATAATTAAAGAATAATGTAGGCCTAATTATATTTTACAGACATGTAGCCTATGTGTTATTATTATTATTAACCTTTCAAAATAGTTTATTATTCTTTTCTGAAAATATAAACAATACAAACAGGGTCTCTAATAAGTGTGAATAAGTGAAAAACCACATTGTCCCTAAATTGAGCTGATGACGTACAATAATTGAAGAATAATGTAGCCTAATTATATTTATGTGCTTTTATATTTTTACAGTCCATTTTCGCTGATATATCAGTGTTATTTGCATTTAAACATTTTATTATTATTATTTTATTCTGTATATAGACACAAAAGTAACACAATCCCTTTAAAAACGCGAAAAAGAACGCGGGAGTTCGCGTCATTTAAGGTGGAACGGATAAGAAGCTGTGAATAAGAAGCTGGATTCAGCCATTCAGCCTCGTACAGAACACACTTATTAATAAATAATTAAAATGTCTCCTTGCTATATTTGACATATTTATAATCATTACTTTTGCCGGTTCTTTGTGACAGCTTTTAGGAGCGTTATTGGCGTCGCCACCCTCTGTTTACAGTAACGCATCAGCACCGAAAACATTGTGCACTCCTTTACTAGAGGAGTAACTAGTATTTGAAGTAATGCAGTAATGCATGAAGTGTGCATTATTGTGTTTCCACAATTATTCACCCTGTCTTGATTCACAAGCATGACAGACGCTGATTTGGATGGCCTATAACGAACAGTGACCCAGAGGCTGTATGGCTGTTGAGAGAATTCGTATACTTGTATATACTTGTAAGTTGTTTCCTATATATGCATGCATGCTTATTCTGTCTTATATTGCCTGTATATTGTTGTATAAAAAAATAAACAGCTTATATGTGTGTAACTTAAATTACATCCAGTTTATTAGCAACACTGTGCATGAGCGTGAATCCCGTGAATCCCGCGATATCCATCTTTGATCTCGCAGGTGTCAGATCCACTGAGAAGCGAGATCTGTCCGGCTTGCCTGCGCTTTTTCCACTCCTCCTCTCACTGCAGCCGCCTACTCTCGCATACATTTCAGGCGAGGCAAGCATCTCAAACAAGCCTATTAATAAAAATGTAACGGTTTTTTCCCCAAAAAAATGTTTTGCCTGGATGTTCATCTAACGTTTTTTAAATGTAACCCCTTGTTTTAGAATGTTCAATGAACATTTAAAAGTAACGTTCCCATAATGTTTAAAGAATGATACAATGGAACGCTCCTTTAACGTTCGTAAAACTAAGAAAAAAAACGTTATCAAAATATTTAAAAATCGTTTGAAAATATTTTTTTGGCTGTATTGATAAATTATAACACTACATTTCTATATGATAGCATTCATTAATGCAGTGAGTATCAATCATGAACATTACAGTAAAGAATACTTCTGTACAGCATTTATTAATAAGTTATTTAAAAAAGTTATTTAGTACTGTTGGTTAATATTTGACTAATGTTAATATATAAAACCTTAATGTAAAGTTATACTCAAACGTCCAGCTTATTACATTGAACAGTATGCAAATGATTGATGTACTATTATTAAAAAAAGCCTGTTATTTTATAACTTTGTTTTATTGTTAACATATAATTTCATGAAACAGAATACACAATAATAATTCTCCCCATGTGTGATTCATTAATTTAAATGAAAAAAGATTGTTGTTACAGTTTGCTAAAAACAGTTTTCCATCCCATACGACAATATGTAAAACCTATTAAATACATTTAAATAATTTCATTCCACTGGACTTGCTGTAGATTGACAAGTGATGTGCAAAACAAATGAAATCAAAAGACTAAAAGTAGCATTAAGAAAATGTATGTTTGAACAAAGGAATTAGCTGCTTATTACAGAAATAATAGCATATATAAGCATAAAAAATTAAAGATTATATTAGTAAGGTACCTAGGCATATTCATAGCATCAAATACAGAAGAAAGTCTAATGTAAATGTGCTGTGACCAGATTTCAGCCGCTGGTTGGAATACAACCCTTAAGTTAGGAAAAACCTCAGTGATCATTCACTAATAATTATAACCTTTGTTGCAACTGGCCTTAAATAAATCCTGAAATAAATATATTTCCACAGATATTTTTGTGTGCAAAATACTAATTAAACCCCAGTCAGACACACATACAAACAAATATTAGTACAATAACTAAATGTATGTCTCAGGAACCGTTTGTGAATCAAAAAATGAAGACAAACAAAACTAACAAAATAAATTCATACAATGAAGGAGATAAATATTATGTTATCTGAACCAGATAGATTTGACAAAAGAAAAAAAATCATGATTTTTTTTTTTTTTTTTACAGTGTACTAATAAATATTAGTACTAAATGTATGTCCCGGGAATCGTGTTTGAATGACGGAATCAAAAAATGGAGACAAACAAAACTAATATATCAGGAAGAATTAAATATTAAAAACTACCGTCTTTAAAAAAAAAAAAAAGTTTTTTTTAAAAGTTTTTTCAAAGAGCAGGAGAAGTGGATCTCTCCAGCCAGTTTAGGACTGGTCACAAATAATCTCCATATGCTTTCCCAAATTTTGTAACGTTTAAATGCTGAAAGAAAGAAAAACAGAAAGAGAACAGAAGGAAGCTCCCTGAGTTTCATTCTCCGCCGCTCTTCCCTGAGACGGGTGGTTCTGGTCTGCGCGGGCCGGCTCTGATCCAGTCCAGCGCTGGCGTGACGGTCCCGTCTCCGCTCCGCTGGGAGAAGCAGAGGAACCAGGCCCAGATGAACACGCAGCAGCCGGAGAACATCGTGCGGATCAGCGCCGGGACCAGGGAGAAGTTCAGGAACTGTGAGCCGTGAAGAGCACTGACATGAGAACACACACACACACACACACACACACACACACACACACACACACACACACACTGCCCTACTCTCAGCGCACAAGGGACAAAAGCTGTCAGCGGGACACTTCCCTTTCAAGAGATACACTTGTGCCCTATTACGTGTGTTGAGTGTTCAGTGTTGGGGGCCTTGAGTTACGTAATCATTACTGTTTTCAAGTAACTATTAAAGTAACGCATTACTTTTAAATTTACAATAAAATAATCAGAGAGTTACTTAGTAATGCACGTTACTTCGTTTTCCATTAATTGACTGACAGTCCCTATCTTGAAAGAAAACCACTTTAACCATGCTAATAAGCAAAAATGACTTTATAGATAAACATCACATTTGTGTTTCATTTATTGCTCAAGTAAGCGTGTTGAACTTCTCTGCATCCAATTCTTCAGCTGAACGCTTGTTAGCGGCGCCCTCTACTGTACAGGAGTGAATCTGCATTTCCTTCAGCCTGAGGCTTATTCACTTCACTTTCGGTGTGAAAGGGTCTTTACATTTGCCAAAATATAACTTCTTTTTGCTGTTATTAAAAAACAAACAAGCAAGCCCAGCCGAGGTGAGAAAAAAAAAGTAATGCAAAAGTAAAGTAAAGCATTACTTTCCATAAAAAGTAACTAAGTAACACAATTAGTTACTTTTTTAGGGAGTAACGCAATATTGTAATGCATTACTTTTAAAAGTAACTTTCCCCAACACTGGTTAGGATAATAAAATTGACCTCTGACTCGACGCATGATGTATTGACGAACGCAGAAAGCGAAGGGGATAGAGCAAAACAAAACACCGGTCACGAATTAGAACATTTTTTAATTAGAAAAATGAGTTTGGGGACTTGAGTTTGTTGTTTGAACCACGAGAGGCGTCTACTCTCACCTAAGTTTACGCTACTCCTGCATCATGGGTAGGGTCAGAGGTCACTCTTCCACTGAAACTAGACTCGCGTACGGCCATGATTACGTAGATGAAGGTGTGATTCTTTTGGCTAGGGGCGTCTTTGTTTTGTCGATTTTAAATATCAACAACGTTTCTCAGAAATCGCTTACTGCACCTTTAAATGTGAGAAAGTGTTGTGAGTGCGATTTACCTGCATGAACGGCCAGTACATCAGCCCGGTCTGCACAGAGAAACACACACAGGTGTGTGACTTTAACCTCCTGCCTTGCAAATCTACAGATCCGTATAAATGACACCTGCAGACTCACCTTGTACGTGTTGAGGAATTTCTCCTTCCAGTCCTGCAGGATCTCATCTCTGCCCTCCATGAAACTCACACCTGCTCAATGACATCATCACAACACATCTCACGTCACACCTCACGTCGTAAGACCAGTCAGTCAGTCACCTGTGTATGACATCATCGCAACACATCTCACTTCATAAGACCTGTCAGTCAGTCACCTGTGCTCACCTGTGTATGACATCATCGCAACACAGTCATAAGACCTGTCGGTCAGTCACCTGTACTCACCTGTGTATGACATCATCACAACACATCTCATGTCATAAGACCTGTCAGTAAGTCACCTGTGCTCACCTGTGTATGACATCATCGCAACACATCTCACATCATAAGACCTGTCAGTCAGTCACCCGTGTATGACATCATCACAACACATCTCATGTCATAAGACCTGTCGGTCAGTCACCTGTGCTCACCTGTGTATGACATCATCGCAACACATCTCACATCATAAGACCTGTCAGTCAGTCACCCGTGTATGACATCATCACAACACATCTCATGACATAAGACCTGTCGGTCAGTCACCTGTACTCACCTGTGTATGACATCATCGCAACACATCTCACATCATAAGACCTGTCAGTCAGTCACCCGTGTATGACATCATCACAACACATCTCACATCATAAGACCTGTCAGTCAGTCACCTGTGTATGACATCATCACAACACATCTCACGTCATAAGACCTGTCGGTCAGTCACCTGTGCTCACCTGTGTGACATCATCACAACACATCTCACGTCATAAGACCTGTCAGTCAGTCACCTGTGCTCACCTGTGTATGACATCATCACAACACATCTCACGTCATAAGAGCTGTCAGTCAGTCACCTGTGCTCACCTGTGTGACATCATCACAACACATCTCACGTCATAAGACCTGTCAGTCAGTCACCTGTGTATGACATCATCGCAACACATCTCACTTCATAAGACCAGTCAGTCAGTCACCTGTGCTCACCTGTGTACGACATCATCGCAACACATCTCACTTCATAAGACCAGTCAGTCAGTCACCTGTGCTCACCTGTGTATGACATCATCACAACACATCTCACGTCATAAGAGCTGTCAGTCAGTCACCTGTGCTCACCTGTGTGACATCATCACAACACATCTCACGTCATAAGACCTGTCAGTCAGTCACCTGTGTATGACATCATCGCAACACATCTCACTTCATAAGACCAGTCAGTCAGTCACCTGTGCTCACCTGTGTATGACATCATCACAACACATCTCACGTCATAAGAGCTGTCAGTCAGTCACATGTGCTCACCTGTGTAGAAGGCGCTGATGGCGAGCGGCGCGGCGAGCGTCTGGTCCAGCACGAGCTTCTGCATCACCGCTCGCAACGCGTTACCGGGGAAGCGTCGCTCCAGGAACCGCATCCAGAAGAAATTGAAGTTGCCGTGAAAGCTGAACGCGACCACGGCCACGTTTCTCGTGTGCGACCAGTCCACCTGTTCTTTACGAGAGAAGTGCTGGTGCACGAGATCGCCGCCCGCGAACAGGCACCCGTACAGGGTCACATTGGTCGCCCACGGAAAGCGTCTGACAGGCGTTAACAGCGCGTCAAGCATTTCAGCTGCGGCCTTTCATTAATAACAACAATGATCCACGAACAGTTGAGATGAAATTTGGATTGATCCTCAACGCTGTTACAAGATCCTTATAGTTATAAAAACTCTAATGTACTGCGTGTCTGTTTGACAGTCTTCAGTGGGAAGGGCAACCGAGAGCGTGAGACGCGCATGCGCAGAACCACCCTATCGCCACGCCCACTCAACGGAAAGGGAGTAAATCGGGCTGCAAACTTTCTTTAATTTTTATTGCTTATTTAATGATTTATTCTTGTGTACAACACAAGACCGTGAACAACCAATAACATAAGACACAAGCACCAGGATGGACACTAACTAACTAGATTGCAAGGAGCAATAATCAAGGCAAACGATTAGCAGACAAAGACAATAATACACTATTTCATATTTTACCATATAGAGGAACATAAAGTTTGAGACCTTCCATTTCTTTTTAAAAATAAATACACGAATAAATGCCATTTCAGAAAAGGCGGACTTTACCATCAACCATTCGTTCCTCAATTCTACTTGACATTGACATAGACTTGACATAATGTTTGTTATAAACATTAATTCGATTGCCGTTTTAAGTACTTTACAATTTTAATTATATATTTTTTAAATAAACAATTAGAAAGCATATTAGTTTGTTTTCCTTGAGTTTTTGAGTTATTTGAAATATAATTAATTTTACATTGGCGTAATAATGGTGTATTCATTGCTTCAATAAGCTCATTGTTTCTGCCGTAAATTATAACATTGTTTAAATGAATATATTTTTAGCTAACTGTGATTTGTATTTGTACATTTCTGAAATACATAACTTAGGCAGTCACCTCTGATAACAGATCTCTCTGAATTGTAATATGGACTCATGCATTTTCTGTAAAGCTGCTTTGAAATGACGTGTATTAGTGAAAAGCGCTACACAAATAGATATGAAAAGAAATGAATTGAATTGTTGGCCTATTCATGTAATAATACAATAATACAATGAATTTTACAATCTATATTTCTGTAAATATTTTATTATCTATGGGATGCAAATGAAAAGGACACTGACACAGCTGAGCATAACGGTTTTTTATGGGCCTATCTATTTATTTATATATTTATTCGTTTTATTTTAGTTTTTACTGACCATTTACAGGTATGAATCATATTCATGAGGCATAAATGTTCTGATGAAACATTTAACAAACAGGGCCGAAATCATTCGTTTGTCCCGTCATGCCCCGGTGCATTGTGGTCGCTGTCAGGGGCGCATGCGCATAGCGGAGCTCCATCTTTCCATCCCGAGCGCAGAAGAGCAGCGGATGTGTTGATGCTTGTGGACGTTTTGTTTTTATTTTTAAACGCTCAGAGTCGATGTTAAACAAACCCGAGCGGACTCTTCCTCCGTTATTATTCTCCTGGGAGCTTCCAGCGGACATAAATGATGCGTGTGGCGGGTGTTATGAGGTAGATCGAGCCGCTGCTGCTGTGCTTCGGCCGCGGCGACACATTTGAGTGTAAATCCGCTAAAAGAGTGTTTCCGGCCCGCACGCGAGCAGGTACGTTTGTGTACGTGAGATTGTATGTTTGTTGCGCGTGTGTTGTTTAGGTTAGCAGTTAGCTGTGTGTCTATGTGTGTGTGTGTATGTGTGTGTGTGCGCGCGTGCGTGCGTGTGTGCGCTTGCTCGGATTCACCCGCAGCCATAATGAGCCCAGAGCTTTATCCCGAACCGAACCGAGCCTGTGCTGATCCGCGATCCGACCTCTGATGCTCTTCGACATCATCTCGGGCTAGCTTTAGCCTTAGCTGTGGGCCAGCTGCTCATTTATCTGCTCTGGGTTAGTGTTGTTATTAGTAAATGCTGAAATAAGTGATTGTGAGTGTGATGTTTTTCGTTATACAAGCACACAAGTGTGTGAGCAGGACGTTTACTGTTTCATCTCTGTCAGTATATCTTCAAGAGAGAGTCTGATCATATCTGAAACTCACATTATTTTACTGTCAGTGCAACTGTCACTCACATATCAGCGTGATTGCAGTGATTAACACAGTATTTACAGATATCAATCGGTGGATAAACCTGAATGCCGAGATGGGAATCATCTTATGTCATGTTAATGACTGGTAGGCAACACCTGGAGTGTCTCTCTCTCTCTCACTCTCTCTCACACACACACACACACACACTCTCTCTCTCTCTCTCTCACACACACACACACACACACACACACCTGATGTGTCTAAAACAACACTCATGTAGTGATCAAGACATTCTGTGTCTTTTTCACGTACTGCATTTTGTCCAGTTGTCGTTTAACTTGTGAATATTTCTGTGCTTTGTGAGCTGATGACATTGTCATTTTTGATGATGTTTCCGCAGCAAACATAGTAGTAAATGACCTCTGACCTCTTTAAGGGTCACTGCAGGGCAGAAGAGCCGGACTCTGTAGGTCTGTCCTAATTTGCATACTTGTACACTATTCTATGCCATTTTGTAATATGTAGGATGATTCACTCAATTAACCGAGAAAGCAAAGTGTTGAATGTCGTATGTTTCATGCACTCGACAGCTTTACATAGTGAAGGATCGATGTTGAATGACAAAATATTGTATAAATCATACAGTTGAGTGCATAGTGCGTCATTTGGGACACAGCTTGTGTGTATGATCACATTGTGTCATCTCTGGTGGTGTTGTCATTCAGTTTTAGTGTTTGTGCAGATTAGCACCTGATTGCTCAGGTAATGGGTTTCATTCTGGTCAGAATCTTTTCTGACAGCACGCGTGCAGGTGTGTGTGTGTGTGTGTGTGTGCTGCTCATTCAGACCTGTAGTGAGTGAGTCAGCAAGACAGTGACACACACAGCTGCTCGTCTTCTCGTGAACGTGGCCGTGTCTTCTCTAAGTCCAGCGTTGAGGTTTGTGTGATCCGGACTCAGACCTGTTCACACTGCTGATGTTCAGGAGTGAATTCAGATCTCATACACGCATACATACGTCTCAGTTCTTGATTCAATCTGCCTGTTGTTTGTGCTTCAGATTAGAAATGCTTAGGCTACGTTCACACCGAGAGACTTAGTGCTCAGATCTGATTTTTTTTGTATAGCAGTTCAATTTGTTGTTTAAATGTGGCCAATATCAGATTCCAGTGTGAACAGATCATGATCCTGACTTGCATGCACAAAAGAACGATTAAAAAGACGTCACGCAGCACGCTGTCATACGGAAGTAAACACAGGGAACGATAAAGTAAGTGATTGCCTGTTTATTTATAGTGTGATCTGCCGTGAAAGCCAGCGAATGTTTGCGCAGGCAATAACAACAAGGATGCGAAAAAGAAGAGCAGTTTTTAAACATTTGATACGATCCCTCGTGTTTTGCTTTGAGCTGTGTCTGTATTGTAACACTGTAGTTCTGACACGTCACTGTCCTTCACTGACTATAGCCCTATTCGCTGCGGCTGCACGATATTGAAGAAAAATGCGATAACTCATTAAATAATGCGATACGATAATGCTTAAAGTGTGTAAAATAACCTTAAATTATCTTTAAAATATATTTAAAATTATATAACCTACATACGTGTTTCATATTCTTTTTGTGACAAGAAAACGTCCCTACAGCTTCTGACAGTGAACAGCAGTGTTTTACTGTAGCGTAAGAAGTGTTATTAACATCAGTGTAAAGCACGGGGTTCGTGGGTTCAACAACAGACACTGAAAAATCAAATGTAAAAATAAAACACTGCTTAGTTTTCACTGTATGATTGAATACTCTGATTCTTATTAAAGCTACAAAAGTTATTCAGCCGAGAGCAGCGAGTGATTTTCTCTCTGTCTTTTGTTCATGACTCAGTTATTGCAAGCCGTTGCGATATGCATATCGCCGCATATACATTTGCAATATTTCGATAATTGCCATATATTGTGCAGCGCTACTATTCGCACTGGATTAGTATTATTTGGGGACCTCGTGTGATTTAGAAATCACCCATCCCCCCCACCCCCCACATCTGAATGCCGCATTCGCACGGGATAAGCGAAGCCTGTGATTTTACTTGAATTTAATGACTATCTCCCGGATATGATGTCAATAGGCTATCGCTTTGAAATGTCTAGCTGTATGATCTATCATAAACAGAAGAATGTTCTTTACCGCATGCTGTTATACATGTCATCCATCTCCATCTAATCATCTTTTTGTTTTTGCTGATGATCTTCAGCCTTATCTTTCTGCAAATTGTATAGTAGTTTGGTGTATAGCGATATGACCCAGCACCCAAAATACTTTCAAAACACTCCAACGCAGCCTCCATTCTTCACGAAAGATGGATAAAAAGGCTCACAGGAAACAAAAACCTTGAAAAAAGGATACACGATCCCGCCAAATCACTGAGATGCCGATTGGCACGGGACTAATATTATCACTCGGTGTTTGGAGAAATATGGTAGGGCGTTTTTGGGGGGATTTCTACTTTACAAATCACAGACATGGCCGATTCGCACGGGATTAAGATCACAGACAACCTGCAGGTCACCAGGTAATACTAATCCAGTGCGAATAGGGCTTTTCTTTCACAACTGTCTTGATAACATCGGCTATGTAAAATGTGACTCCCATGAGCTCAGAATTGTGACGAATGTTCCTCTGGAGTGACATAAAAGTCGGATGAATTCTGTATAGCAAACGTGACCTGTATGGGATTTAGGACCACATATGGAAGTGGCACAAATCTGAATTGAAAAGATCAGATTCCACGTGGTTTGTGCCGCTCACAATGTCATGGGAAAATCTGATCCGATTCACATGTGAGCGAATAAAATCTGATTTGGGCCACTTTTGCCTGCAGTCTGAACGTAGAACGTGTTTATTAAGTGCCATTCATCCAGGATTTCAACATGACCGTTCTCTTTGTGAGCCGTGTTCAAATGTCGTTTTGAAATCAACACAGTGTTATTTACTCATGCTGATGCCTTCACATTATAAAGGTCTATATATCTTTCATATAGGTGGAGCTAATCCTAATCCTGTCCTGACCAATCAGAGCTAACCTGTCCACATGTATGATGGTCAGTCGAGTTCAAAAGATCGGAGTTGGCAAAATTGAGTAACATGTAATTTATTCCTGTGATCAAAGCTGAACTTTCAGCATCATTACTCCAGTCTTCAGTGTCACTGATCCTTCAGAAGTCACTCTAATATGAGGATTTGATGCTCAAGAAACATTTATGATTATTAATGTTGAAAATGCTGCTTCAGATTTGAGTTGAAACTGTCCACACTAATGGACGATAACATTCTGATGTCTGTCTCTTTAAATGCTCGAACGCTTTAAACCAGGAATGATTCTGATTGGCTGTCGGCTAAGAAAAATCATTCTGAAAGTGATTCCAATGATATTGTTTCTATCTTTATAGTTGTGGTGTGGACTCTGTTATTCTTTTACCTTAAGAATGTTTTTAGAAGTATATTTATCGATATCGTCCTTAATGTGAATGAGCCTTTAAGGTTTTTAGCAGAAAATTAATTCTTAAACAATAAACATCTTATTTAGTTTTATTTTTGAATAACTAAACCTGGAATATAGAAGCTGGCATGGCTTTAAAAACAAGAGAAAGAAAGAAACCAAATTACATTTTTTTTCCTTTCAGTTGCATTTTGAAGTTTTAAGAATATGATCACAGATTTACTGACTTCATTATTTATATATAATATAAATTATATATATATATATATACATATATATATATATATATATATATATACATATATATATATATATATATATATATATACATACAGTATATACATGCAAATATGTCTTAAATCCATGTGTGTGTATTTATATATATATATATATATATATACAAAATAATTATACACAGCCCTAAAACCAAAAGAGATTGTTCCTTTCAGTTGCATTTCGTATTTTTGAGAATATGATCACAGATTCTCTGAGTTCATTAATGAGACTCATGTCAGCATTTGGATGAAGTCTTCCACTTTCAGATCATTATGGTATGTTGAGCAGAAACACACTGTAGTTTTCGTATAACGAAGGTTTGAGAGGAACGTGTGGACGAACGATCCGATCTAAAAAGTGTTTGGATTATAATATTTTCTCTCTCTTTTAGGAACCATGAATTTCCGCGAGCGTCATCTAAACGGTCCATGATGAGCAGCACATCTAAAGACCTGCCGAGAGAGCGTGACCTGTGCGGTCCACTGTAAAGACACGTCACCTGACCCGGACCCGCGGGTCCCACTGCCTGCTGGGAGCTGCAACTCTTTCCATGCGTCTAGTCATTTGAGGTGCTTTCAGACTTCTTTCTCATGGCTTTGATTGGTCGGACTCTAGCAGCGGAGGTCCTGTCTGCGTCGAGTGGAAAAGTAATGAGTCCGTTTCGTGGCTGGTCTGCGCTGTGAGGCCGTCTCACTGCGTCCTGGGAAAGTTGTGCTCCGTCTTCCCTCTTCTGAGCGCCAGAATGAGACATTGTGCCGGGACAGGGAAGAGCGTGTGATCTCTCACGAGGAGTTTTGCACTGGTCCATAAAAATGAATGGAGGTAAAGAAAGGGAGGGTGGGGACGGCAGAGGACATCTCGCCCAGGTGCCCATCGGCTGGCAGCGAAAGGTGGAGGCCTCGGGTGTCCTTTACATCAGGTATGGAGAGCTGTTCTCACTTCATGCACGTTCTCCTTATGCTTAAAGGGTTCTTTAAATACCCAGTTGATAGTTGATAGGATTCTACAGGGACTTTACGTAAAGTTTGTAACATACTTTGGTTAAAATTTCTCAATGTTCGTGTAAAACATGCTAATTCATGCTAGCAAGCAACATGTTAATTCAGGTTAACAATGTGTTAAAAAATGCAAACAATGTGTTAATTCATGTTAGCAATGTGCTAAAACATGCTATGCGACGTGTTAGTTCATGCTAGCAATGTCTAATTCATGTTTGCAATGTGCTAAACCATAAATCATACTAACAATGTGCTATTTCATGTTAGCAACATGCTAATTCAAGTTAACAATGTGTTTTATCATGTTCTTAACATGTTTCTAGCATGAATTAGCACAATGCTAGCGTGTTTTAAAGGGATCATCGGATGCAAAATTCACTTTTATATGGAGACCCCTTTAAAGAGGTCATCGGATGCTCATTTTCCACAAGTCCAACCCTTTTTTACCTCCTCAAAATCAGCTCTATTCACAGCGACCCGTTTCGGTGCAAATGATAATGAGCAACTGCTCCTCTTCCATGGGGGGCGTCGACACAAAGACATTAAAGTGCTGCCTTAGTGGACACTATACAAATGGCTGAGATATGCTAATACAGGAAATATGCTAATACGGGACAGTCTGTCAGCGGTTGTGGGCGGTGCATGAGCAATATGACATCATATTGCTCAGAAAATCCAAACGGCTTGATTATTGAGAGTGTTTAGACTTTTTGAGGATTAAAAAATAAGGAGTGAATGGATTTATTTCATTGTATGGTGGTTGTCCACACACTGCAAAGACACATTTATTTGCAAACACCATATAAAAGTGATTTTTTGCGTCCGATGACCCCTTTAAGATGCTTGCTTGCTTGACCTCACCTGCCAAAATTTACTGGTCATAAATATTTCTTACAAGCCGTGGATCGCTATTTTGTATGGAAGCTTGTTTCCGCCACAGAATAAAATATTTGAAAACATAATTGCAACTTTTTATCTCGCAATTCCGACTTTATTTCTTGCAATTGCGATTTAATATCATGCAATTCTGACTTTATAAAACACAATTGCGACTTTATATCACGCAATTCAATTCTTTCTTGCAATTGCGAGTTATGAAGTCAAATTCTGAGGAAAAAAAGACAAAAGACAATTTTCCTCACAATTGCGACTTTATATCACGCAATTCTGACTTTCTAACTGTCAGTTGCGACATATCATGCAATTGTACGAAAAAAAGACAGCATTGTGAGATAAAAAGTTGCGGTTGCCTTTTTTTATTTATTCTGTTCTATACAAGCTTCTATAATTAGGCTTTGTGATAATTTTTTTCCTTACGCACATTCTTGTTTGTATCATGTTTTGGAAGCCGGCTTCATTGGCGATATTTTGCGGCTGCCATATCTTTGCATAAATGATATGTGACGCCGTTTGTTATTTCTTTATGCCTTTTTGAACTCTGTTCATATGGTGTGTGCAGTTCGCAAATGACTGTGTTATCGATATTTGTTCAACTGGTTCACAACGGGCCATTGTTTTTCTATGTAAACGCACGCTAGACGGACATCTTTAACCGTTGCCCTAGCATCTCACGTTTTTTTGCAGCATCTCGCTCAAAATTAAGAAGTTTGTCTTTTAAAAACGTGTCTCTAGACGAGTATCTCTTGTTTTTAACCACAAAAATGCGTCCTGTGTGAAATGCACCTTCACTGCTTTGGCGCAACGATAGTTTGACAGGTCTTTCAAATCCCCTGGCTCTGTGATGCATCATTTCTCCTGCATCCAAATTATTCAGATTGGTTTAGAATCGAAATCGTGCATGCTCACATCGTGATTTTATTACGATTTCGATTCATTATTTTTGTTAAAAATAGATTTTTGTCAATGCAACAGTGGCATTATTTAGATATTTGTTTGTTGCATATTAAGGACAACCAGCAGGTGATGGTCACTCGGCGGAGTAGGCGCATCATTTATGATTATGAGAGTTGCTGCTCTCCATTTAATTTTCCTATTTTCGTTTCCCTGGCTTAATGTGGGGAGAGTTTTGGGTGCACATCACTACATAAAGTAGCAGAGGGAGAAACTTACATCTACAGCTAATCTCAGATTCACGACAGTTCATAACATAGCAATTATTTGAGATGACCGCAATAATTGTGCAGTTAAATCTTAATCACACTTTTGCCATCCACATAAGGGAAATTTAAGCGCTCAAGGAAATGCCTTATTTCTCTAATTTTCCAGTGTGGTGCAGAGAAACAGTAGTGTCAACATCCAGCAGGGATAACACTGTTAAAAAGCACAAAAATATAGTGAAAGGACTAAATTCACACAAAATTATGCCAAACAATATGGAGTATCCTAGTAAACGTAGTCGGTTATGTCTATCCTGAACGTAAACAGTTGAGAAAATAAACGCATGTGTATCAGTCTATTAGATCCCTGCATTCGCTCTTAAAGTGACAGCAGCCTAATATTCCTGCTGTTTTTAATGTTAATCAAACAACAAAGGACAAAGTTAAAATCACTCACTGCTCTTGAAAGAAATACTTTTTGTAACTTTAATAAGGATTAAGACGTTTAATTGATAAATTTAAGGCTATGTAGTGTTATTTTACATTTGCTTAATTTATTAAATTCCTGTATCTGATAACTACTGTTAGACCAATCTGAAAAGCACTGTTTATTTCATTTGTATCTGTATATTGTTGTTATATTGTATTTATATCTGCATTTGCTTTTAATTTGATTGTAGGGCTGTAACGATACGCGATATAAAATCGAAATCGAACTCTGGGAGTTGGAAGGGGTGTGATCGCAATTCTGCCTTCTCACATCGCGATACAGGATCGTGGACCTGAGTATCGCGATGTGAGAAGGCAGAATCGCGATCACACCCCTTCCAACTCCCAGAGTTATCCTTCCTGTCCAGAACTACCACATCTTTAAATTACTATTAGTATTATTTGAAGTTAACATTATAAAATACGTAGACCTACACCACAAAACTAGTTGAGGATAAATTATTTAAAATTTGGCAATTTCAGCATTATAGACGTGAAATTTGCAGCCAAAACTTGAAATATAAATTCTCAGAAAGTGCATTAAATTAATCCTCAATTGACCGGCAACACGTCCAACATGCAGATGCATATCCTACGGCACCATCCCGAAATCAATTTAGTTGGAGAACACAACCCAAAAGCAGCAGCCTACACTGCCTAGTATAGTTTAATAATTTGCATAGTTATTATTGTTCTTTGGTGTTTAGATTATACAGGTTTTTCCTAATGTTATTTAATAAAAATACCGGTATTTTTTTTTCTTCTCTCAAAATCTCTTTTTTCACCACAAGCCCCGCCCCCTCAAGCCCCGCCCCCGTGATAGAATCGCGATACGAATCGAATCATGGGTCAAAAATCGTGATGCGAATCGAATCGTGGGTTTGGTGTATCGTTACAGCCCTATTTGATTGTGTTTTTATTTTATTACTGACTTTACTTTGAGTAATGTTTTAAATGTAAATTAGTTTGCCGGCTAGTAGTTTTAGCTGTGGTATATATTTTTTTAAAAATAATTAATAATATTTATTTATAATAATCAGAATAATAATTAATTATAAAATTAAAAATTATTTTTATTACTTTTATTTTTTATTATTTTTATAATAATATAATTATTACTGCCTGTTTTTGCAAAAACGTTTTCATGGCTAGTAAATTTTCTTAATTCCCCGGCCATTGGCAGGAGTGGCAAAAAGTTAGCTTTAGGCCCTGAGGCTTACACTGTAAGTGGCATGAACAAAACCGAAGCTAATCGCAATTTCTAGTATGAAAATTAATCGCCAGCTCATAGTTCATGAGCATGACAAGCCTTGCCTCGCTCAAAGCCGGCTGCTCTCATTCGGTGTGTTCAGTTTGGACCCTGTGTGAAGCATGTAATTTCATATAGTTCTCCAGACACAAGAATTATTTGTCAAAACTAAAGTGTCTATTTATTTTTACTGTTATAGATTGATGTCTTTACTGTATTTGTCAAGTCACCTTTATTTCTGTAGGTCTTTATACAAAGCAGCTTCACCCTGATAAACAGGAAAATAACAATCAATGCTGCAAATATATATTAGATATATATAGGCAGATATATTAAAGCTGATAAATGTATTATTTCCTTCAGCTGAGACACTTCAGCTTCGCCATGATGGTTTTGAATAGCTTAAAATATGATTGGAATCACTTCAAAAAAAGGAAAATGCAGTGAAGTGCAACAGCACAGCACAAGTCTGTCATATCGGTAACATAAAATTATGAGAATCTTATAATTGTGTGTTTCGGACATGGATTTTAATGATGAGACTTTTGTTTTTGTAATCAGGCTCTCAAAAGATGTATCAAAATTTGGATTTAGATTTATCGGCCAATATATCGGTTATCGGCTTACAAATATAAAGAATTATCGGTTATCGTATCAGCCAAAATGCTCATATCGGTGCATCCCTACCGCAAACTTCATCAAATATGAGACCAATTCTAATTTCTGTAAAGTAATTGGTGTTTGTGTGTGTGTGTGTGTGTGTGTGTGTGTGTGTGCAGTCCAAGTGGATCAGTGCTGTCCTGCCTCGAGCAGGTGAAGTCTTACTTGCTGACTGATGGCACCTGTAAATGTGGTCTGGAGTGTCCTCTCATCCTACCCAAGGTCAGTACTGAAGTTGCCCATTTCACAAACACCATGCATACACTCTGGACATGTTTCCAAAAGCCACATTATTGCATAGCATAGCATAGACATATACATCAATGACATATGCTATAACGTAGCTTATACATTTACATTGTCACTGATAATGGTGGATAAATCAATGCAAGCTCAGTATAGATTAGGGATGGTAAGATTCACCGATTCGCACCGGTGCATCGGCATAAAAGCTAACGATGCGATGCATCGATTTAAATAAGTGTGCATCGGATATAAGTTGGCATTTGTATCGCAATGCATCAGACATGGGGACTTGTGACTTGGTGACTTGGACTCGAGTCGCTATTTTTATGACTTGTGACTTGACTTGACATAAAATTAAATACTTGAGACTTGACTCGGACTTGGAAGTTAAAGACTCGGGACTTGACTTGACTTGAGACACGATGACTTGAATGACTTGAGTGTTAATCACATCATGTTTTCAGTTTGAATATAAAATATATAAATAATTTTTTTTTTTTAAAGTTGATCACGACACTATCATCAGTCATACCCTCTCGTACCTTACGCACACCACGCCCACTTAGATCAGATATCACATAAAAATGTCGGCCGGAGGGCTACCGAGGGTCATCGCTTTCGGCTTCAAGAATTATTCACACGATGGCAAAAGACGAACAGCGCTTTGCAAGACATACAACATTAACATTGGGGACAGCCAGACGACAACCTCCAATTTCGTCCGTCATTTAAAGAACCATTCTGCCCAGTAAGTGCTTGTCAATTTGTTAATGTTAGTTGGTAGTTAGCTAATGTAATAGCTAAAGTAGCCATTAACTCTTTCACAAGTAAGTTTAAACTATTCTAACTGATCCCCCAGCGTGAGTTTTTCTAGGCGACCGTTATTTAGAACCTGTCACTCATGTTTCATGGTGACGCGTCATTGCTTGTCACGTGACACAGCGCAATCACAACACAGCGCTGAATGAATGATCTGCTTTTATGTCATTTTTCCTGTTTTATTCAAAATGTTCACAAATGTATTAGCTATAACATGCAACACTGATATTCCGATTGTCAAATATGTGCAAGTGGATGTGTTTTGTTGTTTAAACACCTTTATAATGATCGCGTTAGTTGAGCTATATGTGCGAATGGGCGGTGCCATGTAAACGTTAGTTTACAACACGTCAATTTCTCAACTTCTCACGAAATACATGAAAGTAAGTGACCGGTGAACTGGGAGAAGAATAGGGTAAAATGTAAAGCTACTTACACAATGTGTATCTGATATGAATAAAACATGCGTCTTATTATAATGGAAAGGATTATTATTGACGCTTCCATAGACATCAATGTATATTTTACAAACTACAAATATAATTTTTTGCTAGTAGTTATGTGTATTTAAATGTCTGAAACCTAAAATAAAAATGATGTGGTTGAAAACACTGAACAGTTGTGATATATGGCATATATCACAACTGTTCAATATCACAACTGTTCAACTGCTCAGCGCCAGCCAACGCGTTTGAATTCATTGATAAATAACTTACACGAAGCAGAATAGTGGGTCATATGTCTAATGCTTTTTGAAAACTTAAAGGGGTCATATAATGCCATTTTTGTACAAGCTAATATGATTCTTTAGGGTCTAAATTAAAAGTTTGTAATATACTTTAATTAAAAATTCTCATTAGTATTGTAAGAAAACACTTATTTTACTTGGTCAAAAACAGCTCTGTTTTCAGCACGCCGTTTCAGTGCATATGACTTTAAATGATAATGAGCTTCGCTCACCCTGCCTCTCTGTTCTGTGCGTACACCGTTTGTAACACAATAACCATAACGCGTTGTTCAGTATAAACGTGGGATTATGAATTATATTGAGAACATCATACATAGAAAACATGCCGTAATGTACCCTGAGTGTAAACCTTAGACGCGTTCATTGTGAAGCGTGCAGCTAGCAATTTGCAAAGATTAATATATTAATATAAAGTTTAATAAAACGTTACACTCACTTCCGTTCTTCTGGAGTTTCAGCAGGAACACGAATATCTGGTACCGATCTTTTTTCATGAGCAGCTTCTTAGCAAATCCAGCTTTATACTCACCCTCATTTATAAAGCAGTCTGGTGTGTGAAATGATTCGGCAAACATGAGAGCATTGACGTTGCTCGTGGGGAATATTCCCTTCGAAAACAAACTCAGCCACTGCGTCTTCAGCGGTTCGGATTTAGGAACATTAAAATGACTGTGTTCGTTATTACACCCAAGAACAGAACACCACAATCGCTTAAGCCTAGATCACACTACAGGATTATAAACCCGATTTAAGCCCGATGAGCTCGCCGACAGGTCAGGGTGTTATCGCGTGCAAATCGCGGGGGATTAGCGGACGATGGACGCTCGCCAATCTGTTAGTATGAAAGAGCCAACAACTCATCAAAGACGCTCGCTGACGCCTCGCAGACGCGTCGCCGAGCCCAGAAAAATATCTAGCATGCTAGATATCCAGAGCTGTCGCCCGACTCAACCTCAGTGATGTCATGAGCTACAGCCAATCAGAGCAAGGCATGGGTCTTCGTCTTCTTCGCTGGGTATTAGCGCCCGTGATGTTTCGCGTCATTTCCGGTTCGTTTTATCGCGTGATTTTTTTGTGACAAAACGTGGTTTGTAGACAAGATAGAATCGTTGGGTGACAGAGTTGTTGTCAACTGGTGTAGTGCGTTACCTCCTGTTGCGGATCAATCACGTTGTGTCGTGTGGTGTGAACAGCTCAACAACTTGAACACTCCTGATTTCACAGAGAGCAAGTCATGTAGTGTGAACCGCACAGTTCAGCCCGACGTTTTAAAATCATGTAGTGTGAACTAGGCTTTAGACGCCATTCTGCTCATAGACAGTGCTCCAGCATGTCAACAATGACCGCGCCGGTCCGCGCCGCGCAGACTATGATTGACAGTTCGCTCACGGGCGAGGGCGGGTCTGTGTTGAAACGCGGCTGTCATTCAACAATCGCGGGAGGGGCGTGCAAGCTTGTGACGTCACAGGCTCGAACGGCTTGATTTGAGGCAGGGGAAAACATATAAGGAGATTAAAACAAAACCACTGGATGGATTTTTATCATTATATGATGTTTGTGTACAGGCACTGCCAACACACATTTCAGTACAATCAACTTGTAAAAGTGCATGTACCATTATATGACCCCTTTAAGGCTTTCTTCTTCATAAAAGAAGTCGGACATCACATTTTTGTATACATTTTTATTTCTTTAAATTAGTAAGCAGGACACCTGTATTACATTAGTAATACAGGACACCATCTTTCAAAACATGACCTGCGCGAAAGAGAAAAGTGAATGAATGCGTCATTGTTCCCAAATGCACTTCCGAATGCGCCTCTGTTCATTTCAAACCAAACTGACGACAATAGATCAAATTCTGCAGGTAAAATTACAATAATAAGGTGACTTGACTTGGACTTGACTTGACCTACTACAAGACTTGATTTGACTTGACTTGACATAGCCTGTGACTTGACTTGACTTGACTTGACTTGCCCAGGAAAAAAATACTTGGGACTTACTTGAGACTTGAAGGTTAAGACTTGAGACTTACTTGAGACTTGCACATGTGTGACTTGGTCCCATCTCTGCAATGCATCATTTCTAACATCTGCATCGGTAAAAAACTATTTATTCATATATAATTATTAGTAGATGCGCTATACTTTTACTATTTAGAAATGTAACTGCTGCGTTTACACCGAACGCAAATTGAGCGTCTGTAGCGAGTAATTTTTATGTTAAGTCAATGTCTGGAGGTCCTGCGGCGCGAGACGCGTTTAGCGCGGTGCGATGGACACGATTTCGCCTCATTTGCGCGTCCAGGTCGACTAGATTGATTTCTCCTTTCTGAACTGTTGCTCAATCGCGTTCTCTCATCACGACTGCTGCAGCTGCTACATGAATATGACGTATCACAACACTATGGAGTGTGAGGCGTGTCCTGAGAGTCACCTTTAAACCTTAAAGTATGACATTTGAGTTAATCTGGTTTACAGTAGCCTGTGACTGCCAATAATAGTTTTTAATTTTTTTTTTTTTTTTTTTTTTTTTACATTTGAATACAGTTATGAAAGACCTGTTAGTTTTTTAGTTGTTCAAGCACAAAGTGCTGAAAACCTATTGTAATTGCTATTTTAAAAAAACACACAAAAAAAACCTAAAACGCATCATGCAGCCCAAACCATAAGAAACTTGAAACCTGGCCAGGTGGTAGGGCCTCAGTTTGGGGAGAACCTATCAGAGTATGACCCTGATTGGCCCATAGGTGGTGCTACAGTAACCAAAAGTACTAAATGGCTCATCACTCCTAGACCGTTTGACTTAGAATCAAGTTTTTTACACCACTGTGATCCTTGGCTCAAGGCGGTCAAAATGTATATCTCCAAAATCGATTTAGGCCAGAAAAATTTTCTGCTATGTCCAATTTTGTCCAAAACCTACTTTCGCGAACTAGTCCCTGGTTTTTCGCCCGATCGGAACCAGACCAGTCTAGGACAATTCTCTGGACTCTCTAGATCAATAATTATCAAAAATAAGTTGAGCTTTGCCCTTTGGTTCACTGTAACTGGGTCATTTAGAAAAGGGGGCGTGTCAAAATACACTCAAAAGCCTATAAATCATAAATAAAAACTCAGAACTTCACAAAAATTGATGAGAACATGTGTCATAACATGGTGAAGAAGCATGCAAAGTTTCATGGAGATCGGACCATAGTTGGCGCTATAACTGTCAAAAATCTTTAAAACCATATATTTCCTATGGTACCATATATATCCTAATTCCTATGGCTAATCTGTGAGAACCCCAACTTGATATGGCTGTAACTCTTGATACAGACCATCTAGATCCTTGTGGAAGAGCTTGTTGGAAAGGGCCCGTCATCATCTAGCTTCGATTCGAGTTTGGTGCGATTTGGCCTGGGCATTCCCGAGATATAAGCCCACAAAGATATGCATTTAAACGGACATTACTCCCGCCCCCAATCACCCAGCAACTCCGGGATGGTCTTGTTCAACAGAGCTCCTCTAACACTATCTAAGTTCTGAGTTTCAGATTTTTTCATTGTCTCGTTCCCGAGATATAACTGAAAACCAAATTTCCATTCATTCATTTCAACCGTTTATGTAGGCTGTAAAACCGCTGTTGTCCACTAGAGGGAGCAACAGCATTAGACATTTTTAATCTTTTTAACCAGTTTTCAGCAATGGCTAACAAACAAATGCTTAAAGATATTTATTATGTTGGAAATAATATTTATAATAAATAATATAATATTAAATGATTTATTAGAAAGTTTAATATTTTTACATCACAAATAAATATCTGAAATGCTTAAGGACCACAAAAAGAGATTTTCACAATATCATAACCCAAAATTGTGTGTGTGTGTGTGAGAGAGAGAGAGAGAGAGCATCATGTCTAAATATGAGTCCAAAAGCACCTGTGAAAAGACTTATTAATAAAATATAATGTCCAGCAGAGGGCAGTAGAAGACCACTTATTGGCTCAGTTTCATTTTGACAGACTGATTTTCACCAGTATTCTGCACTAAAGCAAACTAATTTTTCCTTATTAACTATTATAAAACAATCATATTTTGTCAGAGTTTATCACTTCATTTGTTCTGATGCTTCACATGATTGCTAGCAACGTGGTAAATAATGGTAAATCACGATAGAAACATGGTAAATCACAGTAAATAATATTATTACATGGTGTATCATGGTAAATCATGCTAGCAATGTGATTAATCATGGTAAAGCATGTTACATCCTAGTAAATCATCATTACATGGTAAATCAAGGTAAACTAAGACAAATCAAGGTAAACTATGATAAAGCATGCTAGAATCATATTACATCATAGGCTACTAGAATGTGTTCAATTGTGGTAAATCATGCAAGAACAGGGTAAACCATGATGAGTCATACTAGAACTCGGTATATCATAGTAAACTATGGTAAATCATACTGTAACATAGTAAATCATTAACAATCACACTGAAATGTTGTATATCATGGCAAATCATGCTAAAACATAGTCTATTCCATCTATGATGTCAGTGGTTAAATGCTTGCTACATAAACCTTAATATCTTTTGATGCTTTTGAGCTTAACTGTCTTAAATGCTTGAACACCGCTAAATGCTGCTAGCAGCTTTAATTTTATTTTTGTAATTGTTTGTTAAAACAGCACCTGCTTTTATTTAATCTTTTGGTTTTGTGAAAAAAGATTAAAGAACCATGCGTTAAAAGTCAGATGGCGCTTAAGCTACTTTATGATTTGTTGTATGTCTGAATAAAAGAAATAAAAGTTAACTTGAATTGCATTATATTTTTCTCCATTGCATCATATTACATTGTATCGCATCGCGTTGAATCGAATCGAAATCGGATCGCACCGCATCGTAATAGTAGTGAATCGTATTGCATCGCATCGGTAGCTGCTTATGTATCTTTAATGTATCGTATCGTTGGCTATGCATCGAGATGCGTATCGCATCGGCCTCAGCAATGGAGATGCACATCTCTAGTATAGATGCTCCATTCCTCAACCTTCATGAGGATATCATGTCTTCATTCGCTGTTCACGTGGTTGTGTGAGCTACGCATGCTCAAACTGACCTGAGAAACATAATGCCATTGAGCAATGAATCAGACTTGATTTATATTTGGCCAAACAGGATTGCAAAATGGCCTAAATTGCTTTACGATTTATTCAGTTGCTCTCTCACTGAAGCATTTGGAGTTTAGTCAGTAAAACAGATACTAGACAAAATGTGTCATGAAAACGCGGGGCTGTTCAGGCTAAAAGTGCTGCTTTTCTATTTATTTCCTATGCAAACTCAACCGTACTTCCCTGTTTTTTCTCTGACAGTAGTGATGCATTTAATAGACTGTTAAAGGGACAGTTCAGCCAAAAATTAAAATGCTCATCATTTACTCACCCTCATATCATCCCTGAATGATGTATGACTTTCTTTCTTCAGAAAAACACAAACAAAGATTTTTAGGAAAATAATTCAAAATAATTTTGTATACTTGGCGCGTTCACAAGTTCAGCTTGACATAAACGTAAGTGCATTGTGAAGTGCACAGAAACACAGAGGACCATCACTTCTCGCACAAGCTTCACAACTCGCTTGCGTCACAACGTCCGTCTCATAAACGCTCGTATGACCGTCTGTGTGTGTGTTTTTATCAAGGATCAAACGAGCGGCGGCCATTCAGTGGCATTATATGGACTCTCAGAGAGGGATTATTTTCCTAAAAATCTTCGTTTGACTTTGTCTTAAGAAAGTAAGTCATGTACATTGAGGATGACATGAGTAATGAATAATTCAGGTCATAGTGGCTGTGTGGGAAATCACATAATCAGTTAAATAATGATTTATTACTTAATTATTTAATAAGTTAATTATTTATTAAATAGGAATTATATAAAAGTATATTATATGGACTTAGTCTGTATTCTTTTCCGATATTATATTCTGTTTATATTCTGGAAATGATGAAAAAACGCTAGAAATAAAAGGTCAATTGTGTGAAAGATTAAATTGTATATTGTATTGTATGAAGTCCTTTAAAAAACGGGGCTGTAAAAGTACTTTAAAGTCCTGTATTGAACCCTGTGTCGAGTTAAAAAGTCTTGAAACACCTTTATTCTGCTCATTTGTATGTTCATGGAGATACCATGTTGGCATTGTCATGTGACCTACAATGTTAATGCATGCCATTTGTTTCATAAATACGGCTTATTCCAACATATTACTCGTTTCACGCATACTATACTAGTAGGGAAATTTGACTATGTGGGGATAACTTCCAGTAATCAATGTGGTATCATAGATTTTGAGATTTAAAGGATTAGTTTACCTCCAAATGAAAATTTCCTGATAATTCACTCACCCCAATGCCATCCAAGATCTTCATGTCTGTCTGTCTGTCTTCAGTGGAAAAGAAATTAAGTTTTTTGAGGAAAACCAAGGTCACGCTGGACGTAGGCGGAAGTAACGCCCCATTGTTTACAAGCGTGGAGAAGGAGGATCGTTCAAATTTCATTGTATGTTGAATGACATATTTATGTCTTAAAAATCCTGAAATGTTTTCCTCAAAAAACTTAATTTCTTTTCCACTGAAGAAAGAAAGACATGAAGATCTTGGATGGCATTGGGGTGAGTGAATTATCAGGATATTTTCTTTTTGAGGAGAACTAATCCTTTAATCGCCTCTAAATGTCACGTTGAATAAACAAAGCAAACTAAGACTTTATGCCGAAACTCAAGGCTTGCTCTGACAATTTTGTTTTCTTAGGTTTTTAATTTTGATCCTGGTGCGGTGGTGAAGCAGAGGACTGCTGAGGATGTGAAGGCTGATGAGGATGTTACGAAGCTTTGCATCCACAAGAGGAAGCTTATCGCTGTCGCGACGCTGCATAAAAGCATGGAGCTGCCGCCTCCTTCGCTAACACTCACCAGTCCTGGCGGAGGCACAAGTATGACGTCTTCTCTGACAACTGGAAGAGTCATTTAAAGTGCCCCTGTTATATTTTCCTGGTATTACCTTTAATGTAGTGTGTAATAAAGCTGTTTGTGAACGTAAAACATCTGCAAAATTTCAAAGATCAAAGTGCAGGTAAATTGAGTTTTTGTCTCCCAAAAGAAAGCGATTCTGAACTGCCTAAAATTAGTTTCAAACGTAGGTTTGTAACTAATTTGGTATTTCATTTCTGACACGCGCTGTAAGCAGTCGACCAATCACAGCAGACTGGGCCATCTGACCAATCAGAGCAGAGCAGATCTCAGAAAGGCGGGGTTTAGAGTGTCTGAAAAAGGTTTGATCAAGGATTCAGGCTGAGAAAAGAGCTGATGCTGCAATGTATATCATGAGGAAATTTGAAGGTTTTTTTTACCTTGGATGCATGTAAACCTGTTGTAGGAGACTCTAAAACAAAACTAGGAAACTTTAAAATAGCATTATTGGGGCACTTTATCATGAACGTATCTGAACAAGCACCTTTTTTGAATTAATGAATTATGTTTCCGCCTTTTTAATCTTGTGCATTTTTTTTCCTCAGTGTTTAGTGATTTTACTGTGCTTTGCAGCAGGGGTTCTTACGATGTAAATTAAGTAATTCTAAGAAACAATTGCACACTAAATGATTGACAGCGACTCTGTCTTCCTGCAGGTGTGACCTCCATGACCTCGACCGCACAGCCTCGAGCAATAAGGAATAAAACCCACGAGGGCCAGCCAGAATGTAAGATCCCGTATAAGGTGATGATGGCGGCGGGGCAGCGGCACTTCTCTCCGGATCGGTGTGTCCCGCAGGACGTTTTCCCTCCGTTCTCCCGACAGAGACTGGCCAGCGGGGACCCGGGGCCCAAGTCTCCGTACCGCAGAGTCATGCTGAGCCCTCCCTCGCAAGCCTTCGGGGACGGTTCTCTGTCCCCAAGAACAGACGCTATTGGCAGTCCTGACGCGTTTTTGCGGAACAACCCCTGTGGCTTCCAGGGAACCGGTAGTCCAAGCGCAATCCACAGCAACAGCCGAATCCCTTTGTCTTCTCCCGGGGTCATGATGCACGGCTCGCCTGTCACACAGTCATCATGTGTAATGGCTGGAAGGACTAACATGCCTCTGTCGCCGCCAGTCCCAAACAAGAGCCCCGTAATGAAAAAGCCCATGTGCAACTACCCGCCCGGCATGGACTCGAGCAGAACGGTGTTTCACCACAAGGCTCCGTCGGCTCCCTGTTCCCTGCAGAATAAACAGGTGAGCTCTGAGAAAGACCCTCCTGCCTCTTGTGAAATTTGGCTGACGATTAATTGTGTAAAAAATAATTGCGGTTATGCCGATTAATTGCCAGTTTGAGGGCTTTGCCGATTAATTGCCAGTTTTTAGGGCTTTGTCATACATTTTTGTGTGTGCTTCATTCATTAAATAATTGTGATTAATATTAGGGATGTGCACGAATATTCGATCTGTAATTATTATTCGAAAAATAAAATACTATTTGAATTTTACTACATTGCTTTGCTGGCCGTAAATCCAGTGAATCCATGATAAATCCCAAGCACTAACTCGCAGTTATAATTAAATGGACTGGGTGGCGCTGTGGCGTGTGTTAACAAGTTGTGTGTATTTGATCACATAATGTTGTCGTCTGCCTCGCGAAGTTTGGAATTACTTGAAAATGATCTTACTAAATGGAATTACTTTTGATCAAATTAATTAATTAATCTGAGTTATAATATCATCAACACAATGAGAAATCACATGAAATCCAAACAGTCGAATGAGGAAAGACAGCTGTCCATCACTGCATTCATGACTGCAGGTAAGTGCAGCTGGACCCCGCGTGATCCAAAATGATAACTTATCTTATAGCAAAATGATTTTGAGACATACTTCCTTTAAGTTTCGTTGAGGGAGACAGGTTTAAGAACAGAAAACGCAAAGTGCTGTTAGAAACTTAGAACACCGTTATCTTTGTGTCTCTGAAGCGTCTGTCAGCGAAGTGCCTTTTCTCACTCGAGCATAAATTGCTGGCGGCGCCCCTGCATGTGGATATTGTTTTTCTCAATAAAAACGTGAAACAATATAAACACGATAATCATATGCTGACTCTTGTGTCTGTGTACGTTCTGTACGATATCTGGCGCAATCTGCTTTATTAGGCGTTTTTTTCCCGTTCGCGCTGCTTAAGCATGCTTTTATTAATGCTTTTGTTTTTTATATTTTTTGTTTACACATAGGCCTACTATTTAATGTTTTCAACTAAAAGAAAACTTTAACATATATTGTAAGCTTGTTGTGTATATTTCCTAATGTAAGCTTGTTCAGAAGTGGTGACAAAAACGTGAAAAAAAAAATGTAACTTAAAAAATAACGTCTTTTTCGTTAACCGTCATTTAAATAAACGAATATTCGAATATTCGATTTTTATGACCCCGAATATTCGAATGCAATATTTTCGAAAAATGCCCATCCTTAAAGCTCCAGTCGGCAAGTCTGGCAGATTGAGTGGATTTAGGAAAATGTTGAATGTTTACAACTCTCATGCCCCTCCCCCACTATCAACGGATACCCTCCCACCCAGTTCATGCTCGTCAGTGCGTGTGCACCAGATTTTCAGTGAACGCCAGGACTCTCAAGTGTCACGCATTGAGCGTGACAGTCACTCATTTCGGTCTTTTGTCACGCTCTCCCACCACACATCGTATTTCTCACGCTGAAAAACTATTTGAAATATATTTAATATGCCGCAGCGCCCAAAACTCTGGCCGCGCCGCTCTCACTGTGGAACCGGCATGAATCAAGCGTGTTTCCTCTGGTGTTGTTCGTCGAGCTACACAATAGCCAATCAGAAAATAGCACTATTGTATCTGGGTAAGATTTAACGCAACAACCAATGACAAAAATGTATCCAACCCCCCGTCGGCTGGGTGTCACTCTTACCTGTCTTCAAAACTTGAGAGCCCTGGAACGCGCCCGTCTCATCAGCATCCATCAACACCATGGAGTATTTGGAGGTATGCTGTCCTGGGTAATCTACCGATAGATTGCAATTGCTAACGTCATTTATACTCTAAATGAGCGTACTTGATTTTCCGCCATCACTCTTCGTTACTGCGCGAACTTCCGCGAACTTCAGGCGTGTGCATGTGATTGTAACGTGCGCGAGGGGTGGCGTGTGCCCGATCTGTGATTGACAGTCAGATCTCACACCCCCCCTGCGCTGATTGGACATGATGAACCGGGAGCTGTGGATTTTTGCAAAACAAATAACACGCTCCAGGTGGAGTTAGAAGCTCGGGGTTTTTTTCTAAAACCACTTTATTTATGTTGTTCTGTCAGATTATAGTGTCGATTTCACTGAATATGATCAAAAAAATGTTGCCGACGGCAGCTTTAATTAATATAATCCTTTGTAAATTATCATTTTGCAGCATAAGATTACAGTTAACACCAGTGTCAGTCCCGGGCCTATATGCAAAAAAATGTATATGGGCCACCCTAACCCCGGCCTCCAAGTACATCGAAGAGACATTTATAGACGTTCACTGTTCACACATTTATAGACGTTCATAACATTTTTTAATAAATACCATACCAAACAATACCATAAAAAAAAGACACTACCCAGGGCCTACTCAACAACTTTTCACAACCAGAATGGAACAGCAAAAGAGTCTAACATAACCAAACCTCAGCCAGTGTCAATAATAAACTACTGCATGCATACAAATGATCTTGACACAGCAGCCAGAAATGTAAAAGCACAAACACTCACTAATTTTAGTTGGATTCTCCAGGCCTTTCTTTCGGCACATTCATCCTCGATGTCCTTGGTGTTTAATTCACGGCTTTGTGCTTTCTCAATTAAAAAGATATTCTGTGATATGGTGCACTGCAAAAAAAATTTTTATTAGCTTTAGTTTAAAAAAATGAGCGCTCCGCTGAAGCAAAAATAACCTCTCACACTGCTTTCTTTTTTAAATTTTGCGCTTTGATGCAGCGTTTACACGTCATTAAAAAAACGACAGCGTAGTTCTACGGCGGGGTGCCAAAAATAACACATGCACACAAGAAATTACCGAGAAATGAGAAATTACTGCACATGACATGCATACAAAAAATATATTTATTGTGGCCACAAATTAATTAATACTTTCCCTCGTTCTATTGGGCGGCGGGCCCATTTGCACGTGCACACCCTGCATGCCCAGACGCTATGCCACTGGTTAACACCTTTAAATATTTATTTATTCAATTCAATAAATGACTGAAACAATCAACAACAAACTGGCCAATCATAGAAAAGGCCATAAAATGTATCATTAATATACAGTATGAACTAATGGTAATCGTCTGCTCCCTGTTCCCTGCAGAATAAACAAGTGAGCTCCGAAAAAGACCCTCTTGGCATCCTGGATCCCATTCCCAGTAAACCCAATCCCACTTTCCAACCCAACGCCCACTCTCAGGTACCAATGATGAATGTAAACATCCCTCCTGCAATCGTCCCATTGCCGAGCAACCTGCCTTTACCCACGGTGAAACCGGTCGGTCACATGACGAGGAATTCGCACGGCACAGCCACATCAATCTCCCCGTCGCCCGTCACTTCTCCTGTGCACATGTCCGGGCCGGCTTTGAGCCGGATTGAAGCGTCTCCACAACGTTCCCGTTCCTCGTCAACCTCATCCGAGCAAGGAAGCTTCGCCGTTCCCCCGTGCGCCACGATAAAGGTCCCGCCCCGCTCGCCGAGGTCCTCAATGAGTTCCCCACGACCGGCTTTGCCTTCAAGCCCATCTGGCAAACCGGATGGTATCCACCAGTACAAAGAAATCCCAACCCAGTTGCTGGCAGGGATGAGCAGTCAGCACAACCCCATGTATCCCCCCTCGAAGGAAAAGGAACACCCGGGCCTTTTGGGAATGCCACTGAACCAGATCCTTAACCAACACAACGCTGCCTCGTTCCCCGCCAGCAGTCTCCTCTCAGCCGCCGCCAAAGCACAGCTAGCAAATCAAAACAAGATCGGAGGAGCCGGTGGCACTTGCCCTCTCAGTGCGGGTGAAACCAACAGAGCTGTTGAAACACACATGTTGCCACCAAACCCTGGTATGGTTATACCTAGCGAAGCCCAGAGTGGGCGCGCGGCGCTTCGGGATAAGCTAATGGCACAGCAACGCGACCCTCTCCGCAAGCGTAAACATCCTCCAAACGCTACCAACCACGAGAATTTCTTCAACATGACCGGCATGAGAACGCCATCCGCCGAGCAGATGCGAAAAACCTCTCGAATGCCATCGAACACGTCAATGGCTCAGCTACTCCAGTCTCTGAGCAACCACAGCTCACACATGGGCAGGGGGAGCAGAAACCCAGGGCTGGTGAGTCCGGGGCGTGTGCACTTCCCCGAGGGGGTCGTGACCTCTGGCGTGGCGTCTCAGAACGCGCAGGTTCAGCAGCGACTGCACGGCCCGGCCGACGCCATGATGGAGACCCAGAGCCAGTATTCAGGCAGGATCAACCAGATGCAGGCGACAGCGATGGGAAACTGTGGACCCGTGAACCAAAGCGGACAAGTTCCTCTCGGAAACCATGTGATGAGACACGCGAGCGCTCACTTTCAGCAGCGCGTTCAGCCAAGCGTTAGCTGTATGCTACCCAGCGGCAGTGAAGCCTGCTGCTCACAACCCATGACTGACACAGGTAAGGAGAATATCCAGCACTTCATTCTGCAGGAATGTTTTGTTACACCAAATTGTCTCACCCACCCCTGGCTAGTTTGCATGCTGCTACTTTTTTCTTTTTTATAAATACCTTTGCCTTGGTATTGAGAACAGTAAAAGGACAATAGTGAAATTGAGAAATCTCATATGGTAATGTAAGGGTGCTTTCACACCTGAGCGTTTGTTTCAGAACTAGGTGTGTTTTCTCCCTTGGTTCGGTTCGTTTAGGCATATGTGAACACGCCAATCACACTCGGATCCGCACCAAAACAAACGCTCTGAGATTGCCTGAATGAGGTGATCCCAGCCTGATTGCAAACGAACTCTGAAAGCAATCCAACCCAACGAACCAAATGGTATTATAATTCATAACGGGAAATGTACTATATACAGGGTTCCAACAGATCCTTGAAATCCTTGAAAGTTTGTGAATCTGGAAATAAAAAATCCAAGGCCCTGGAAAGTTTTTGAAAATAAACATACATAGAGTCATGTTTAACTTTTACACAAGTATACACAGTTCCTGAGGTGTTTATAAGACAGCTGTGACGTGTTTTAGTCGATAGTGTTCAGTTTCATGCTTTGCTGGATCTTTTATCATTGCGCTAGAACTGGTGTCTGTTGTCGCTTGCAAAACCAAATGTCGGCTTTTTTACAGGTCCTTGAATTTATTTTTTGCAAGAAGTTTTCTGGAAAAAAAATTCCATATTACTCCCTCCGGTCCGCTAATGTGTTATTTAGCAAACACTTCGTGGCCTATGCATTCTAGCTTGCTTGATTTACGTTAGTTACACGCATTTACGCGTTACGTTAAGTGTTTCCCTCGCGAGGCACTTTGTGTTGTACTTTGCTGTGACGTTCACATGTGCACGAAACTAGTACGATGGTACCTCAACGTTTCACAGACACACTGTGAAACATTGCAAAAATAGGCTGGAACGATGTAACCTTGCTTTCACTTGAAATGTGTCCCCACATTATTTAAGTCCTTGAATTTGACGGTATTGGACCTGGAGAGTCCTTGAAAGGTCCTTGAATTTGAAGTTAACCAAGGTGTGGGAACCCTGTATATAAATAGCAGGAGTGTCTGATTCTGAGTGAGCACATTAGTTATCACAGTTGAAAAGTAAAAGAGCACCTCCTCATCTTAAAATGTTGTGTAATTGCTCTTCTCAGTGCATTGCAAGCCTTGCTTCCTAGTTCCTACTAACTGCATTATAACATTCGTATAGTGTTTATGTGTGTCGTGACACTGTACAAGCCACAATACGCTTATGGGGTGAACTTGTCTATCATCTTGATGAATGAAGCAGTGGAAACTCTGATCAATGTACTCGCATGTGACTTGCGTGAACACATTTTGGCACGCTTTGAAAGGTTGCCTTGTGAAAGCAAACTGAACCAAGAAGAAAATGCAACGTAACAAATTAAAGTTTTCTTTGTGTGTGTCCCTTTAAATGCAAATGAGCTGTAGCTCCGCCTCTGTTCAGAAGAGGGCGGAGCCTTTACATGAGCTTCAGAGACTCCGGCATAACGAAACACGAGAATCTCAGTCAAATTTCAGAAATAAGTAGCGTGTGCAGCTTTACTGAGAGACTCAGGGAGAGCTTCACTTTTACACGTTTCTGAATGTTAGTGGAGACATTTCTGTAGTTGTTGTGGAGTTACACTGATCATCTCATCATCATGTTGAACTCATCCACTAGTGTCCACAGTTCCTGAGGTGTTTATAAGACAGGGGTGACATGTTCTGGTCAATAGTGTTCAGTGTCGTCTGTGCTCAACCACAGAACAGTTTCAGGCTTTGCTGGATCTTCTCTATTGCGTTAGAACTGGTCTCTGTTGGCGCTCGCCGAACCGAATGTCGGCTGGTGTGTGTAAACGTGGAGATTAAGGGCCGGTAAGATCCTTTTCATACGGCAGAAGGAGAGCGAAATCTGATCGGCTTATTTTTTTACATGCTTACAGAGAAAGCCTCACCAGAACAAAGTTACTGGGTTTCACTTTTCACGTTTTCTGGGTTGGTAGAAGCACCGGGGACCCGATTATAGCACTTACACACGGGAAAAGTCAGATTTTCATGATATGTCCCCTTTAAAGGGATAGTTCACTTTGAAATTAATTTTTGGTGTGTTTTAGCTTACCTCAAGGGCATCCAAGATGTATGTGTCTTTGCTTCCGCAGTAGTTTCAATTTTGATATTTTTAGGTCAAACCGTTCTTGTCTGTCAGTCATATAATGCAGGTCTATGGTCACCACCTCAAAGAGCATGCACAGAGAAGGCCAAATTAAACATGATTTAATGACTCGTAAATGTAAGTACACATTGATGGCCTAAGACACGAAACGAGCGGTTTGTGTGAGAAAACGAACAGTATTTATATCGTTTTTACCTCTTGTAAACACAGCCACGTCCAAGTGATCTGAGTGCGCGGGCGCTTCGGTCTGCGCAAGCGCCGGAAGTGATCTCTCGCGCGTGTACGTCACTCATTGTTTACACAGAGATTTCGGAAGTGTTACCTTTCACTGTGAAGATCTAAACATATTTAGATATAAAGGAAATCGCAATGGAAGACGATTTGGATATATCAACAGACAACGTTGAATTTTTTTCACAACCATATTTATTTGAACCAGAATACTTCCGGCGCTTGTTCAGACCGAAGCGCCCGCGCCCTCCGATCACTTGGACGTGGCTGTGGTTACAAGAGGTAAAAACGATATAAATACTGTTCGTTTTCTCACACAAACCGCTCGTTTCGTGCCATCAATGTGTACTTACATTTACGAGTCATTAAATCATGTTTAATTTGGACTTCTCTGTGCATGCTCTTTGAGGTGGTGACCATAGACCTGCATTATATGACTGACAGACAAGAACGGTTTGACCTAAAAATATCAAAATTGAAACTACTGCGGAAACAAAGACACCTACATCTTGGATGCCCTTGAGGTAAGCTAAAACATACCAAAAATTAATTTCAAAGTGAACTATCCCTTTAAGTCCCTGTTTCAAAACAAAACAAAACAATCTATAGGTGTGAAAACGTCCTAAGAGTTTGGTAATCTCACCCACCCCTAGGTTGTATGCTTTCTTTTTTTTACCTTATTGCCTTGGTATTGAAAAGAGTGAAAGGACACTAGTGAAATTTTTTTACATTGTGGCAGCTCAATGTTTTTAATGATTTGGAAGCAGTCGTTTACATGTTTAACCCTCTGGTGCTCTTCGTCATTTTTGACCGAAAATTTGTAAGTTTTTTTTTTTTTTTTGAATTTTTTACTTTATCGGAATGGTCGGAAACTTGGTAAAGGTTTTAGCACTTACTGTGTGTGAAAAAAATATATAAGTCATGGACATGATTCAAAAAAGGTTAAATGATCCTAAAAAAAACACACACTTGTGCTCCTCGCGGTCAAAAATCAGCGCATTGAAAATTAACGAGAGACAAATTTCATCTAGTGAAAACTTTTGGAGATGTCAACCTCAAATTTGGAACACAACGTGTTTAGATTTATGCCTTAGGTTTTCTTGCAGTTTTAGAGTAAAACGTGTATTTGGAAATATATATTTCACATAAAAATTTTAAATAGTATTTTTGTGCATTTTTTTATAACGATAAATGTAAAATTCTGTAACTTTAAGTTCACTTTTTTTTTAAAACTTTTTTCACTTCAGCAATAATCTGTGAAGTGTCGTCTTTAAAAAGATATCAAACTTCAGTCTGTTGCATTCAAGATTTACCACAGTTTAAGTTGTGAATTAAATTGTCATGTCTATGCTCAAAAAGTGAATGAATGTATTAAAAATACAGTGTAAATATAATTTAGTACCATAAAATCCACAAAGAATACAAAATATTAAATAAAAAACATTATCAAACTAAAATATAGTACAATAATTTAATGGAGAGAAAAAAAAACGCCCATTTTGACCGGCACGTGAAGCGCACCGGATTGTTCACCCAAAATTTAATTTTGTCATCATTTGCTCACCCTCATGTTGTTCCCAATCCAAAAGACTTTCGTTCATTTTCAGAATAGAAATGAAGATATTTCTAATGAAATCTGAGCAATTTCTCTCCATCCATTGAAAATCCGTTCACCCAAAACTCTGACGCTTTAAAATTTTCATAAATCCATATGAATCGAGTGGTTTAATCCAAGTCTTCTGAAGAGACTCGATCGCTTTGTCGCATCACGTCTCTTCAGAAGATTAAACCGCTCCAATCATATGGATTTATTTTACCACCTTTTTATGAACGCTGTGATGTTTTGGGTGAACAGACTTTCAATAGAGGGACAGAAATCTCTCAGATTTAATTAAAAATATCTTGATTTGTGTTCTGAAGATCGAAAGAAAGAAAGTCTTTTGGATTTGAAACGATATGAGGGTAAGAGATTGAGGACACAATTTTTGCTAATTCTTTTGGGTGAACTAACACTTTAAAACCAATAGCTGTTTTTAAGTAGAAATAGGAAAAAATTCAATCTTGCAATTAAGACCCTACATATGATATTGAAATATGTTATGATGTTAAATGATGAATATTTGTGTCCTTTTTTATAATCTAGTCTAGTGAGTTGCTGGAGCTGTGTAATATAAAGAATATAGTCACTCCGCTTTTGTGTTGTCTCTAACAGACACTTTTTAGAAGTGACTATATTCAATACAAAATACGATTTGTTGCTAAATGATAAAATCATCTGCTAAATGACTGCTTAAATTCATAAGGCCACCATGTTTGTTCTTACACTAAATGAGGGAGAAAAAAGGGCCAAACCCACCTAGGCAAAAACGGCCTTTTCTGTGATTTATTTAATTTCGCTTAAATCATAAGCAGGATATTCTATTTGGAGATAAATCCCAGCTTCCTTATTATCTGATCAAGAAGTCATATTATTATCACCTGTTCCTGTCGTGAAACATTCAAGCGGTTTCTGTCGATATGAAGCAGCGTCTTTTGGTCCAATGTTGTTTATTAACTCAATCTTCCATTGGAGGGAAGATGACTGTCAGGCAGGTGAGGTTATGATTCATAAACAGCCACGATAGTGACACTTGCAATCCAAATTCAAAGATTTGTTGGACTAAAAGACATCAAAAAGGAAGTTGTATCCTCAATGCATGCATGCAAAAGCACAGATCCAGTGTTAGCATGACACGAGTGTTGTTAGCCTGAGCACTTGTACTTTAAAAATGCTCCTGTTATAATGCACACATCTTCCTCCCTGACCTGTTCAGTCGTGTGTGTGTGTGTGAGAATCATACCACTACCAATCATCGCACTGCTGTCTCCATGGCAACCTCCCCAGTAGATCATACACACTGTCCGCACAGGGCCGTCATTCTGTGACACCACACACCGGATTCATTATGCAACACGACTGTTATTTAGCACATGCATTTAATCTCACTCCATGAATGTATTTGGAGGAGATCAATGTGTATTTCAAACATGCAACCTTTAAAACCAGCACAATAAATGCACATCATGTGCATGACATCACATCAGCCAGCACAGGGTTTACACACCGATCTGTCGCTTGTACACAATCTGACGCTTGTATTTTTATAAGATAGAGCATGTGAATTATTCAATGACTACCTGTTTATTAATGGAGTCCTGTAAAGTGTGTGATGAACAGTGGATACATATACATTTCTAGTATGCTTTTCTGACAATTTCTGTGGGTGGGATGTGCTCTGTGTATCATGCCGAATATACACCAGTTTTAACCACAGACTGTATGGACGGAGTATGCGTGACGTCACCCGTAGTGTTTCTGAAGAGCGTTTTTGAAGCCCAAAGTGGTGAATTTTTTAATATTACTCTGATTATGTTTGGCTGAAAGAAGAAAGTCATATACAGCTAGGATGGCTTAAGCCTTGTGAGTAAATTATGGGATATTTTTTGGGTGAATTAATGCTTTAACACTTTCAAGAGCCTTCACGAAAGGATATAATTAAATATTTGCAATTTATACGGCTACTTCTGTATTTTAGTGGCTTTACTAGAATGACGTACATTTTGACATTTAAAGTTACACGATTAGTAACTAGAGGTGTGTCACAATATATCACAATGGAAAAATGCAACTATGTATCGTGGATAGTGACAATATGTATTGTGTATAGTTCACCCAAAATGAAAATTACTGTGCATGAAAAAAACAAGTTTACAGAGTTTTAGTTTCAGTAGTACTACATTAAACTACTATATAATGTTGAATATAATGTATAATAATGCAATGAGGGACATTTGTGGGTCCTGATGGTATCTTGTTGTCAGTCAAAGGTGTCCTACATTTATTTAAAATATATCTAGTCAGTGAAAGAGTAAAGCAAATTCCTCTGAAATAATTCTGTATTTTCAGCTTCAGAATCATGAATATTGTTATTCTGGTGTATCTATTGTCCTGCACTGGGTTTCCAGCACCAAGTCCAAGACTATTCATTTACACACACAATAATACCAAATTTAGCATTTTAAATCAACAATTAACTTTTTGTTAACCTTTTACCAAATGTCTTGGAGTATCGTGATAATATCGTATCGTGAGTTCAGTTTCGTGATATATATATATCGAATCGTGACATGAGGGTCTCGTTACACATCTATCAGTCACTGATTCTTTCACACTAGTATTTTTCAAACAGTGTGCATGCATAACCAGGGCTCCCAAACAATTTTTTGTTTTTCCAGGTTAATATATTTTTAGTTCCTCAAACTTTTGCATATTTTATTTACTATTTACTATGTACTAGTACTAATGCAGTATAGTAATATGTGGTGACTGTCTCCTGCTTTGTCTACAGGTGACCCTGCATCGCTGAGCTGCAGTATAGGAAACTCTCCTCAGATGGGTGGTGTCATGGCTGCCGCTGGGCACATATACCAACACCATCAACAGCACCAACACCATCAACAACACCATCAGCAGCAGCTGCACCCGTCACTGCAGGGCATGCATGGGGTCTCCACATATCCCAACCAGGGGCATTCCTTCGCAACAGCTCCTTTCACGGACAATAACGTTCCCAACTCCAACAGCTTGCCTTGCCGGTACCAGGATTATCAGGTGACTCACTCAGTCAAGTGAAATAAGTCCTTTCTTTTTACATAGCTAGCATGCTCTAAGGCTACGTTCAGACTGTCAGTCCTAATCCGATTTTTGTGCATATCCGCTTGAAATCCGATCAGAATTAGCTAATGTGAACAGCAAAAAATCACATGAAATGTGATTTAAAAAAAAGAAGTTATTTTACAAATCCGTTTCAAGCTACATCCATATGTGGTGTAAAATCGCATTTCTGAACATCCGTTTCAGTCTGATTTCACGTGGTTTATGTGACTTTCTCAAGCCATGTAAAATGTAAACGTCAGACATTGTTATAGGAAACATGCTAAAAGTCGCTGCCGAAACAATGCAGTGTCGCTAAGTGCAGAACGAGCAGAAAACGTCAATATAACGGAGAGGTATTTTAAAACCGGCGGAGACGACTCGTACCAGCCGGCGGTTCAGAAGACACAGTAGACCAGCACGGTGGATACACATTTCCATGTTGTAAAATTTAAATAAGACAACATCTCTATTGCAAAACCCTCCATGTTGCGGTTGTTGTTGTTTTGGGGGAATTCCTACCAACACAATGTCATTGGCATAGAAACCAATGCATATATTCCGGAAACCGAAAGTCTTCTTTACTTATATAGCGCTTTTTACAATATAGAGTGTTTCAAAGTAGCTTTACAGAGATAACAGGAAATTGTTTCCAGAAGAAAATAGCGTCACAGTCCAGCTTAACCCTCTGATTATCTTCATTTGTGTCTACACTCATTATCTTTGGGGTCTCCAGGGACCCCAGACAATAACATTTAATTTTGTAACAGAATAATAGATTTTTTTTTTTACAAATGTAATTTTAGTCTGTTTATTAATGTTTTTACTCAACATTTGTGCAGTTTTTGGAGGATTTTTGATATCTTTTAAATTTCTATAAATAAATATTTATGTGATGTCATGATTGACAGGTTCTCTAAACGAAGTATCACTGAGGCACCAATGGACTCTTTTGGGGATTTTCGGGAGGACATTGGAGCTTCAACTTTAATTACATGTCCATACCGGTTTATTTCACACGATTAGTTGCTCTGCAGTGAACTTTGTACTAACGGTTTCTGCGGGAGTGAGGCCAGGACCTTGATATCGCGGCTCCACGTAACGTTCACTACTGTGCAGACTCTGTGTTTAGAGAACCTATCAATCACAGTTGTCAATCATGACGTCACGTTCACGTTTTTATAGCATCAAATAACTAAGACCAAACTTATTTAAAAAAACGAACACTTAAACTTACATCAATGTGATTTAAAAACTACCTAAAATGACAGAAAACATCAGACAGAAGCAGGTCCCAAATCAGCGCAAGATGTCAGTGCCATATTAGGACTTTAGCGGCTTCCCTTTTCCCCAATGTAAGAGAGTAAAGGGGCGTCGTCCATCTTTTTTTACAGTCTGTGGTGTAAACGTAGCCTAAATGACATGTTTTTGCCATTTGTTCAGGGGTGCATGCCTGACAGCGCCCAGCCTGGAATGACATCTCACTCTGGAGACGCGGGCATGTACCGAGAGCCTCAGCAGAAGCTGCAGGGTCATGATGCTTCGATGGCGGGAGGATCGGTGGAGTCGGTGGACGCGATCTACAGAGCGGTGGTGGACGCCGCTGGCAAAGGCATGCATGTGACCATCACCACCGGCATGAGCGTCAGCACGCAGGCGAGTCCCGTCCCCGCGCTCAGCGCCATGAGTGCCTTCACCGCCTCCATCGGCCAGCCGCTCAGCCTACCTCACGCCGTCAACGCCGTCATCCACGCGCCGCGCAGCTCTGAGGCTAACGAGACGCTCTCCCAGATCCAGCGCAACCGGCTGCAGCACAACCACGCGCGCAGGAGCTCCGAGCGCGAGAAGAACATGCCCGACGGCTCGGACGCGCACGAGTATTTCCGCTCGCCCCGTCCACACTGGGACGAGTCCAATCATGCGCACTGGAGAGGCGAGGAGTTCCTCGAGTGCTCCACACATGTGCACAGCAACACGCGCGTTAGCAAATGCGAGAGGAAACCCATCATGGACTGTCCGACGGAGACTCACGAACCCCACGAACGGTTTAACCAGCGTGTGAACGGCACGATGGCTCGCGGCGGATACGATGATGACCAGTCGCCCGGTTCCTCCACGAGCCTCGAAGGGCCGCTGCTCAAAGACTACACTCACTTCAACGGGCACTTTAACGGACACTGTGCGCCAAGCCCCTCGGACACGAAGAGTCTCAGCAGCGAGGAGGAGCTCCGGCACCCCGACTCGCCCTCAGCAGAACTGATGCACTACAGGCCCAGGGCCTTACACGTGGGGGAACTGGTCTGGCCCATTAAAGGCTTCCCCGCCTGGCCTAACAAACTGCTGAGAGAGGAGCATGGACACAATCCCAGCATGCAACTGTCTGAACAGGCCAAGGTAAGACAGACTGCCTCGTCCTGTTTATATTCTTTTGAATGTGTGGAAATGTTAAAGGGTCATGAAACCCCAAACCAAATTTTCTGAGATTTTTACAGAGGTATGTGTGTTGAACACCATTGAAGACAATGTTAGCATCAGTTAGATTTAATAGTAGGGTTAAAATGGTTAAATTTGAGTTTTGTCCGCTTTTTTCGTCTTCCGGGTTTAAAATCTTCATCACAGGCTGTGACGTGGCAGTGCAATGTGAGTGCGTTGATGACTCATCGGTGTCTCATAATTATTAATGAGACAGTGTCTTCTCATAGGATATGAAAACTCAGTCTCTTAATTATTCATGACACCACGTGGATCTTTCCAATGACAGACATGTCAAACTGTGATATCGTGTAGTAGATGAGAGAGGCAATCATGGGACGCACGCAAGTGTTTGTTTTTGTGGTGCAAAAGTCCAATTGGGTTGAATATGTTTCCCCGCGATGCTGCCCGGGCTAGACTCTGGCTCTGGGCGGTTGGTTTTCCATCAACCACGGACACATCTGAACGTGTGTGCCGCAAACATTTTTTGAGAGAGAGAGAGCTTCGAGAATTGGAGAATGGTGGACTTCGCCTTGTTGACGACCAATGCAGGTTGCGTCTTGCGAGTGATGCGGTACCAAGTCCCGAGGACTTTCTATCCCTTCAGAGGTGTGTGTGTGTGTGTCTAAAATGAGAAGTCATCCACCTCCACAGAGCCATCTTTATTATGGGGGTTCAGGGGGCGCGTAGATCTAGGCTATGCACGGAACGTTTTTTTTTTAAGCGGAAAATTAATCATTTTCAAATATATGTATTTATAGTGTCTATAAACAACTATATATTTTATAATGACATTATAATTATACATGTAGCCTACATTAATATGTTCTCAATAAAATTACGATTACTGTAGTAGGCTAATATAGCAGGGCATTCAGTTACTTTTGAAAGGACAATAATAAAGTGTCGTATTTCATAACTTTAACTTTGCCAGCTATAAAGAAAATCTAGCATTTCCTCACGTTTTACCACTGCTTTTAGTGACAGTCGATATGCATGTGATACTAGCGATGACAGTGATGGCCATACCACACCCCTTCTCACAGCCATCCACGCCCATTTTTCAAAAAGATTGTGAGCTAGACTTGAGCTGAAAGTGGGGGGTTTCATGACCCTTTAAGGAAATGCCATTTTGCTATAGAGCAGCATTTCCGGTTTCATTGAACATCTCAGTGAGATTTGTTTCAGAGGGTGTTTTTGGTGGGCAAGTAATGAAAAATTGAGAATTGATTAAATCAATCCTGTCAGTAGCTACATTTCCATCCATTTTTTATCTGATAAGACGTGCATAAACTACAATGGAAACACATTTACTGAATAAATCCCTCATGCACAACAATCCCAGCATGCACCTGTCTGAACAGGCCAAGGTAAGAGAGACTGCCTTGTCCTAATGCAAAATGTAAACTGTTATAATTAGTGCTGGGCAATGATTAATTTACATAAAATATGTGTGTACTGTGTATAATTATTTTGTTTATAAATACACATATGCATGTATATATTTAATAAATATTTGCATGTATATATATATATATTTATATATAATTTATATATAAATAACACTTATCTTAAATATATACATGCATGTGCGTGTATTCATATGTACAAAATAATTATACACAGTACACACACATATATTATGTTCACACAAACTTTTATTTTGGATGCGATTAATCATTGCCCAGCACTAATACAAAATGTTACATCATATGCCACTTTTGCTATTGAGCAGCGTTCCTGTTTCATTGAACATCTCGGTGAGATTTGTTTTGGTGGGCAAGTAATGACCTCTGAACTCAATCCTGTCAGTAGCTACGTTTCCATCCATTTTCTATCTATAAGAAGACATGCTCATAAATTTTCATTTACTGAATAAATCCTTTGATGTGCAATAATAAACTCATGTGACTTTCCCTCAGGCTGTGATTGGATAACTGGAGTAACCAGTGGACCAATGGCATCGCAGCGTCTCTAATGTTGGTTTGGTGTTTCTGAAACGCCGGAGTGGAAGTGTGTGATCAGAATGATTGGGTTTAATTCCCCCCAGAAGCATCTCACACACACACACACACACACAAGTGTGTTCCCGAACACCAGCATCCGAACGCCAGAGAACACGACAGCGTTTACTGTGTTTCGTCTGACGCTCGACACACACTCGTTTATAATGGAGGGAAAAAGAGAAAGATTGCAGAAACTTAGTTTGATTAATGATATTTTGCACCAATTTCCCTGGAAGTGCTGATTTTGTTCTCTTGAACACATGGGATGGAAACGCTGCGATATTCACACGTTTTATGCGATATTCCAACTGTTTCCGCAAGTTAAATTCACAGCTTTGGATGGAAACACAGCTAGAGATTGTCCGGCATATCAGATCTCTGTGCACTTTGCGATACAAGAATTAAGTCAAGTTTCAAATGTTCGGTAAAGATCTGTATCTGGAGTTGCAGTGACCGATCTCCTGCTGTTGAACTCTTCTCAGGTGGAGCCAGAGCAGCTGAAAACACTAACACAAGACCTTCAGGTGCTGGACCGAGCCAGCAAAAAAAACAGAAAGTAAGTGTCGTGTCTCTGTAACGTAGGGATCCTAAACCCTCACGCTGGTAAACAGCTACAAGTGAGAATGTTTAATGGTGTGTCCGACGGCTGTGTGAAACGACTGACAACAGCAAATAAATCATCATATTAGAGTGATTTCTGAAGGGTCATGTGACACTGAAGACTGGAGTAATGATGCTGAAAATTCAGCTTTGATCACAGGAATACATTACATTTTAAATATATCCAAACAGTTATTTTAAATTGTCATAATATTTAACAATATTACTGTTGTTGTTGTATTTTTAATTAAATAAATGCAGCCTTGGTGAGCAGAAGAGACTTCTTTCAAAAATATTAAAAATCTCACAGATCCCAAACGTTTAAAAGGCAGTGTATCCGAGTGGAGCAAGAATAAATGTGGGCGGGGCTTGATTGTGTCTGAGGAATTGATTGGATGGTTGTGGTTTGCTATTGGCTGATCTCATGTGAGTGACAGGTTATAGCCCCGCCCTCATCATCAGAGAAGAGATGCTGCAAGAGGAACTTATTCTGATTCAAGATTATTCAAACTATAATTATGTGCACCGACAAGTCATTTAGAATAAACTGCAATATTCCATACAATTTTTTTATTTTGACTTATGGTGACTTTAAAGATGCGTTACTTGTACTGAAGCGTCTCGTGTCGGTCTCTCTCGCAGGGCGGGAAAGCTGAATCATCATCTAGAAGCGGCGATTCATGAGGCCATGAGTGAGTTGGACAAGATGTCTGGAACTGTGAGTGTCACACACACACACACACACACACATCACATGGAGATTCTCACACACCTGATTGGCTGAGTGAATCTGTTGTCTGTCCATCTGCAGGTTCACCAGGATCGTCAAGTCAAACTGCCCAAACCCAAGAGGAGGAAAATCTCCAGATAACAGCAGCGTCTCTCTCAGTGTCTCTCTCTCTCTCTGTGATCGTGGTGCTACACACTAGCAGACGCTCATCGTGGCCCCGCCCACACCCTGTGACTGACAGGTGCTGGATCAGCCAATTAGAAAAGGCAGCAAAGACAACTTGCTGAAGAACTATTTTTTTCTAGTGTACAAGGAAAAATATTGAAAAAGCAAAAAAAAAAAAAAAAACTGCATTTAAGAACACAGACAGTCCAAATATTTCTGATATGTTTTCAATGTGTATATAGACAATACAGAAGTTTCATGGTAAAAACATGGGAAGAAGTGTAAATACTGTAGGATAATGACATGTACAAGCCAACTCGATGCACACTTTATCTTCAGCTGTACAAAACACAAAGCAGAAATGTCTCAGCGGCCCATAAGGCCCTGTGACATTACAATGAATAAGAGTCAATCTGAGACTTTTCTAAGCTTCAGTTTGAGTTGTATTTTGAGTGTGTGTGTGTGTGTGTCGGAGTGGACTTCACCAGCTCAATGGGCTAGTTGCGGGTTTGACTTGCGGGCTTCTATATATAGTTCAGGTCTTCCAGCACTAAACACTAATATACTCATACGTTTAGAATCGTCCTGTGATGTTTTCTGTCTTTATACCGTTATTTAGTTTTTTCTTTTGTCATATTTGTTTGAGTTAGACCACCTCGATGAAACACTGGTTTCATACTGTAATGGCCAACATAGAGGAAAACTGAGGCCTTATAATGTGTGTTAGACATGATGTATGAAACTCCCTGACATGTTCAGTAAATCTTGGCAATAATACGGCACATGCTCGGTAAAGCCTTATACGTGTGTGTGTGTGTGTGTGTACACACAGATACGTACCCTTCAGTATTATTTTAGTTTGTTTTGCCTTTCAAAATCCACTCATTATTTTCTCTCCTTGAAGTTTCACTGGTTTAGAAATGAACAGTAGAGTATCATGTCATTGTCCACTCGGCCTCCAGTCTTATCAGTAGTGTAATGAAACGCTCACTTTATCTCACGAACTTCCACGCCGACAGTAACTGAAAACATTCGCTTTTGGGATATCGAGATAATGGGGATCAGCTTGTTTCTGCCACAGAATAAAACAAATTAAAAAGGTAATTGCGACTTGATCTCAATTCTGACAGTTTTTTTCTCTCGCAATTGGGAGTTTATATCTTACAATTCTGACTTTATTTCAGTAACATTTACATTTAATCATTTAGCAGACACTTTTATCCAAAGCGACTTACAAATGAGAAGAGCAATAGAAGCAGTGGAACTAACAATAGGACAACAAGAGAAAGGAAAGTGTTGGTATTAATGGATCAAGTGTTGCCGATAGCGTCTTCAGCCGTTTCTTGCTCAGATGCGAGTTATAAAGTCCGAATTGCAAGAATAATAGTCGTAATTCTGAGATTTTTTTTCTGCCAATTGCGGCAATTTTTAGAAAGTCGTAATTCTAAGAAAGTTGTAATCGCGTTATAAAGTCAGAATTGCGATAAATAGTCACACAATTCTGATATAAACTCTCAATTATGACTTTATATCTTACAATTGTGTGTTTTTGCCTCTCAATTATGGCTTTAAATCACCCATTTCTGACTTTATTTCAATTGCGTAAAAGTCAAAATTGCAAGATATTCGCAATTCTTATAAACTCGCAACTGCGAGAAAAAAGTCCAGATTGTGAGTTTATATCGGAATTCCTTTTTTATATCTCAGAATTACGACTCTCAGAATCGCAAACATTTCTCTTGTAATTCTGACTTTATAACTCACAAATTAAATTAATTCAGAATTCTGAGATATAAACTTGCAACTGCGAGAAAAGTCAGAATTGCAAGTTTATATTTCAGAATTAATTTAATTTGTGAGTTATAAAGTCAGAATTACAAGAGAAATAGTTGCGATTCTGAGAGTCGTAATTCTGAGAAATAAAAAAGGAATTCCGATATAAACTCACAATCTGGACTTTTTTCTCGCAGTTGCGAGTTTATATCTCAGAATTTCAATAGCAAGTTATAAAGTCAGAATTCTAAGAAAGTCGTAATTCTAAGAAAGTCGTAATTCTAAGAAAGTTGTAATTTTGAGATGTAAACTCACAATTCTTACTTTTTCCTCAGTATTATGAGTTTATATTTATTTAATTTATTTAATTCCTGAATCCTGAGTTATAAAGTCAGAATTGCGAGATAAATAGTAGCATTTCTAAGAAAGTCGCAATTCTGCAAAATAGTCGTAATTCTGATATATGAACTCTCAATTATGAAATTGTTTACATCTAACAATTGTCTGTCTCACAATTCTGACTTTATTTTAATTCCGAGGTAGTCGCAGTTCGGACTTTTTTCACGCATTTGTGGGTTTATATCTCGCAATTGGCAAAAAAGTAAGAATTTTGACCTTTTTTTTTTTTAATTCTGTGGCAGAAACGAGCTTTCGTAACTGTCAGTCCGAGAACGTATACATATCGTCCAGCCAACATCCGAACATCCCTGAGTGCATCTTTAACACGACCCAATCTTGTAATGTGTTATTACTGCATTAATGAAAGACAGATTTGTGGGATCTCATACAGACTCAGGAAAGTCCCGATATCATGGGAAATTGAGTTTGTGTCTGTGACGCTTTCATGAAAACACGATCAGCACTGTGGGGTCATAGACTAGAACGAGCCTCACCCTGGAGGTCAGAGGTCACCGTTGGGGTCAGGACAGGTTGTATATAATTAGCACATCTGCCAGTAACACTAACTCAATATGAAGAGCTTATTAAATTATTTTTTGTGTGTAAACTCTATAGATATGTGTAGTATTTTACAGCACATTGCTGTCTCTCATCAGTTTGCATTTTGAACTCTAATCTAGGGCCGATTAAACACCGGGTTTGGACCGTTTTCTCTCCTCGGATTCGGTCTATACAAAAGTTCACTACAAAATTAAGTGCAATATTTCCATGCAGTGGATCTGAAAACTATATCAACGCAAATATCCAGAGGTGAAATCATTGAAGCCCATGAACAGACGGACGGTGTGTGTGTGTGTGTGTGTGTGTGTCTGCTGGTGAAGTCGACTCTGTTGTCAGTGCAATGATGCGGCTCTGTGTTCAAAGTCTTACTGTTCAAGGTCAAAATACATTTTGTGTTCATGTGGTCAGTGTTGCCCTACCTTTCCATTTCTATTCTTGAGTCATATTCTTTCATTTCCTCCGTGTGTGTGTGTGTGTGTGTGAACATTTTTATTTTGTCGTCTTTGCTTGCTATTTTCTCATTGGTATCTGACTGGTATTACGAACCTCTCTGATGTCAATATTTCCCCCGATGCGTATCTGAGTATATATTTTCTCACCGGTATGTACTTTACAGCAGTCGACTTTGTAAAGTATGTTGTGCACTTGATTATGTTTGTTTCTGATAGCTTTGATGTGGCTGTTAGGTTTAGTTTGTTAAAGTCCATAATTTCTTATTGTTTCAATTGATTTTTTTAAAGATGTCCTAAACAGCAGTTTTGTAAATATTGTGAACATTACAGGTCATGCTGTGATGTGACATTGAAATGATGTTGCACCAATGTTTCAATTAAAACCTGGTCACTAAACTGGCGTCTTTATATGATGAATCTTCAGAAAGAATTGAAAGTCTGTTTGTTTTGTCTTTTTAAATTCGTGTTTTAATACCATTTTTAAATTTAACCTAGACTTCTGTTTAATTCTATCGCAATGGTTTAGCAATTCAATTCTTTTAAATTTGATTGGTCACATACACATTCGTAAAAATTGCTCTAAAATACTGTGTAATTAATGTATATAAAACTTTTCTCACAATTTTAACTCAGTGGTTAATTGTGATTTTCTTTTTCTTAATCTTGTATAGACGTAAACTCACAATTGCAAAAAAATACTTTTTTAAATTCCAAGGCGGACACCAGCTTTCCTAATATGAATATACAGGTGAAACTCGAAAAATTAGAATATCGTGCAAAAGTTCATGTATTTCAGTAATTCAAAGGTGAAACTAATATATTTAGTATATATATAACTATATACATATGCACGATTGTAGTTTTCAGAGGGTCGACATTTCTGTATTTAAAATCCTTTTTTAAAATAAATTTTATGTAATTAATTTAAGCCATAATCATCAAAATTATAACTTTTGCACGATATTCAAATTTTTTGAGTTTCACCTGTGTATATAGATATAATATCTTCCTAATATGAGTATATATATCTATTTCTTTGCTGGCTGTGAGTTTATATCTCACGATTGTGACTTTACATTTTTTGTCCGGGTTTTGCGATTTTGCAATGACGTCATCACTTGCAGAAATACGAATTCTTGATATCAAGAACTAAATTTCAACTATAAACTATAATTCTTGATATCTGCTACATAGGCTGCCATTCAAACTCAGTTACGGATATCAAGAATTTATTTCTTATAGTTGAAATTCCAATTTCACATTTCAGAAATACAATTCTTGAAAGTAAAAAAAATCATAAATTTTGATTATAATTACGTGGTTATTAGTGCAAATATCTGCTCTTGATATCAACAGTTGAATTGCCACTAGTAAAAATGTTCAGTTTTGATATCATGCATGTCACCTTTATTTATATAGCACTTTTTACAACACAAGATTGTTTCAAAGCGGCTTTACAGAGAACATAATGCAACAGAGTTTGTTTCGGCTGTACAGCCGCTTCAGTCCGCTCAGTGATGGTGCATTTGTGTTGTAAAAAATAAATTTACAGATATCAGAAATAACAAATGTAACATGTTGAAATACATTTACAGATATCAAGAATTAACATCTCAAATAGTGACAATTGAATTCTTGATTTCAGGAATTTATATTTTTACTTGTAACAAAGTAATTATTGATATCATAAATGACTTTTTTTTTTCAAGTATTTCTGAAATGTGAAATTGGAATTTCAATTGATTTCTTGATTTCATCAACAATTGAATTTGAACGGCGGCCTTTGTGAACATTTAATTACTGAAAATACAATCACAGATATCAAGGATTATATTTTTTACTAGTTGAAATGTAATTCTTGAAATTACAAATTCATATCCTGCGTAAAAAAAACAGTTTACCTTTTGCCATTCCCAGGATATAAATTCTGGATAGCCTATCAAGAATAATGTTTTTTACTTGAAATGTAATTCTTGATATCAAGAATTTGTATTTTTGCGAGTGATGACGTCATTGTTGAATTAACATTTTAACTAGTGACAACTGAATAGTTGATATCAAGAATTCATTTCCTGGAAATGAATAAAAGTCAAGTCATGGCTTACCAAGTGACCCTGGATCACAAAACCAGTCACGAGTCACACGGGTATTTTATTTTATGCCAAAAATCATTAGGATATTAAGTAAAGATCATTTTCCATGAAGATATTTAGTAAATTTCCTACCGTAGATTTATACAATATTTATGTTTGTGAGTGAATCCTCAATTTATTTATTTTTTGGCACCCTCAGATTCCAGATTTTCAAATTCAGCCAAATATTGTCCTATCCTAACAAACCACAGATCAGTGGAAAGTTTTTTACATATACAATTTAGCCATGTGACTGGTTTAGTGGTCCAGGGTCACACATTCGTAAATCCATTGGTTTTCACTACAGATGAGGAGGCTGATGAACAGCGCCACCTGCAGGAGACATGGAGAACTACCAACCCGAGTGAGAGAGTGCGGGCGAGCGAGCGAGCGAGCGAGCGAGCGGGCGGGCGGGGATGAAGAGCATCAAGCAGATTAACTGGGGAATAAAGGATAAACGCAGCATTCTCTGTTTACCTTGATATATCATCTATTGATGTACTGTTAAATAGTCCGTGATAGTTGATTTACAGAGGCAGTGTTTCGCTTGATGAATACACACACCATGGCGACCGAATGCAACCAAGAAGCGGTTTTATATTTCATTAAGGAGAACGGAGGACGCGTGAAGAACGCGGATTTAACGGATAATTTTCGAGCTACAATCCCCAAAGATCCTGCGTTAAAACAAGCGGCGAAGGAAGCCTTTAAACGTTACGTAGATAGCGTGGCTTACGTTAAAGAGGAAAACGGAGAGAAATACGTTTGCCTCAAAAAGAAATTCAGGCGTTCAAACGAGAAGAGTGACATGAATGAGCTCAAATCCCACGGAGAAGAAGAACATAAGGCCTGTGTCAGCAAAAGTGGAGGAAAAGAAGGAATGTTAATGTTAACGTTACCTGGCTCGGGTTACGGAACTGGTCATGTAAAATCACAACCGGATCCTTCAGTCAGGTTTTCACAGAGAGCGACAGAATCTGACATGGGGAATAAACACAGTAGCACGACGAAGGAGGATAAAACTGATTTAAGTCCAAAAATAAACCGATCAGAGAGTAAAGATGAAGAACAAGAGAGGAAACAATCTGAGGGAACTAGTTTGGGAAATGAAGTGAAAAGTGAATCAGAGTCTGGAAAAGAAAACCGTTTAACTGACGATTTCAACCGTAAACATTTCACCGAGGGTTTGATTGACAGTTCGTCTCAGGTTCGTCTGAGAAGCTCCGTTTATCTCCCGGGAAGGTGTCGCGACTCTCCGCGTCCTGACGCCGATTATGAGCCCGCGTCGTTGACGCTCGAGCCGCTGGAGCACGACTGGATGATGAGCGCGTCTGACGGACACTGGGACAGTCTCCATCGGCTTCTTCTCAGGGATCCCAGCCTCATTACTAGGAAAGACTTCATTACGGGATTCACTTGTTTACACTGGGCGTCAAAGCTCGGGAAACACGAGCTGATCGTAATGCTAGTCAACTTTGCCAAAGAAAATGGCATCGCGCTGAATGTCAACGCGCGCTCCAGCGCGGGATACACGCCTTTACATTTAGCCGCGATGCATAATCATCTCGAGGTCGTTAAGTTGCTAGTCGGCGCGTTTGACGCCGACGTGGAAGCTCGCGATTACAACGGGAGAAAAGCGTGTCAGTATTTAAAGAGCGACATCGCGCAGAACATTCTAGACATCGTGGGCGCGTGCGTTGAATCTGACACGGATCACGTGGATGTTGGAGACACGAGTCGCTGGAGATTATCGAGGGTTATTCAGTCCAACTTCAGACCTTTGAAAACACAAAACCACAACAGTAGCGAAGAGGAAAGTAGCGGCGTGACCAGGAAATCTTCTCTTCGCAGGAAATCTTCGTTTACTAAAATGAGACCCAGTCTGAATAAAATCAGTCTGCGGTCGCAGATCGTGCACAGCACTTCTCTCATGGACCGATTCGAGAAAGATGCGACAGAAGAGCCTTCAAACCTCTCAAGACCCAAATCAAATCTCTTTGGGTGACACTGGGAAAAGGTTCTATATGCGCTTCATATATAGACTATCTATCATGGGACTTTATGGATTTAATTTCAGTTCATTTTTATTTGATTCAATTTGATGAATTATGCAGCTAGTAAACATTCTGTATCATAGGAATGACGAATTAAACGAGTACTATGCAAAGACATTTCAGAAACTTTTTTGCATAAAGGGTTCTTAAAAATTTAGTCAAGAACCGCTTTTGCTCTCTGGGGGCTTTTTTTAATCTCCTGTTTTGCACAATATTTATTGTGATACTGAATTTCAAAATAGTCTTCCAAAGCATTATGATAGTCTGATTTCTGTCTTGACTTTTGTTAAAGTCCCCCTGTGGTGAAAATCCAGCTTTTAATGTTGTTTATATGTCTATGTGGTGTTTTTAATATGCTTTAAGACAAACCATGTGTACGTTCATAAGTCGACAGCATTGCTGAGTATTTTCTCCTTAAAACTGCAGTGAACCAAAGACAGTCTCAAAAACACGGTTTGAAATCGCTGGTGTTTCTGACGTCACAAACGACCTTGTAACCAATCAGATCATCAACGTGTGATCGTCAACCAGTGGATCTCTGAGCTGAGTGAGTGAGTGGAGGCGGGGCTCATTTTCATATTCATAGTACCATGTATATTAAATGAGGCAAGGGTGTCGAGTTACATTCAAAATATTTTAAGGAAAAAAGGTTAAATACGTCATTTTGGTGATCAAAGATGAGTTTTAAGGGAGACAATTATTGACTACAGAGGGAAGTTAAAAAAAAATTGTTTTCTTGTAAAACAACCCCCAACTTCATTAGAAGACTGTTAAGTGTCCTGAATTAATGTAAAATTGTGACATATCTATTATATCTATATGTATTTGTGTATGGAGGTTATTTCACAAGTGATTTGTGATATAGATTTTCACAGGAAATAGTTTTGAAACACCATCGACCCACCAGACAGACCTTTAACATTTTTGTGATATGTTAATAAAACCCGATATTGAATCATATCAAAAAGTATTATATCTCCCGCACTTTTAATTTTCAGTGCCATGCACTAGAAGGCTTTATTTCTTAGAAGGAAACATTTCTATTTTCATTTAAATATAACTAGGAGCCTTGAATTATGATTATTTTATGACGTTTATGATATTCACGGGTTGTGGAACAATGCCTTTTATTTTATTTTCTATTTGTACTGGGACTTTTGGGCTCATGACACAATGAGATTTTTCTTGATGATTTTTGATGTACAACTGTACTTTACATTCATAACTCAACTTTATCTTCACTTGAAACTAAACTGAAAGACTCCTGTATTTTAATTACATAGTGACATTACTCTGTCACAGGGCAACACATCATTGGCTAGTTTACATCATCGTCTCCTTGACCCCGCCCACTTCTGACCAGTAGGTGACAAGGATAAATAAATTATCCAATGTTTAAAATAAAATAAAAATCTTCCTCTAAAGTATTTTTGAATCCTTACTGACCGATCTATATCATTAAAATCATTGGAAAGCTTCCTTAAATGTTCAGGCAATGAACATTTAAATAGATTCTAAGTAAGATATTGGTCTTGCCGATCATATTTGGGATGTTTCTCATCGAGCTCTGAAGTTCAGTAATAATCTTTTGCAGATTAGGCGACGCCTTCAGTCTGAGATCTTGTAACTCGTCAAACCGGGTAAACGATGGACGGCAGAAAGAGAAAAGAATGATGAATTAGTTCAGACATGCAACACTGTAACCACACTGTTAACTTTCGCTGTAGATTTAGCAGCACAGTACTGTAAAAACCTACAGTACAATACTGCATTTCTATATTACAGTAAAATACCGTAATTTGCATTGCATTCTGGGTAATTTTGTTTGAGCGGGAACATTTTACAGTACATTTTAGTGTTGCTGTAACCTAGCTGTAACCTGGCTGTAACATGCCAGGCAAATATACAGGGTTGCTGTAAACAGAGAGCGCGCGCGCCGCCTGACTGACGTCAGAGCACAACTGCGGCAGTTCACTCACTCAGCGCGGATATCTCACTCTGCGGATATCTGGAAATTTGGTAAGTTAATTTTGAATTTTATAATAAGGTTATAGGATGTTACGCTATAGTGTGTAGCCTACATAGCTTTTAATGTGAAATGACAGTGAAAGTTTAGCCAGCGACGGTTGCAAAAACACTGTTCAGTTTGTTAACGTTATCTGCTCTTTCACCCCGCTGCTTGTCCTGACATTTTCAAATTTAACGTTATAACTCCGTGAATTAACATTACCTTACGGTTTATTTCGACCAAAACAGATTTGGTGATTGTTGGAACGGTGGAAAGACAAAACCGATGGTCTTTTGTGAGTTTTATTTTGTTTCTGTCGAGTTTTAATTAAATGTGTTTTACGATGGTCTGCGAGATAAAATTACTGCATTTGACATGTTAGTCTAACGTTAACTGTTAGGCCTATCTCTGTAGGGAACACCCGAGCCTGTCAGTGGTAAAAACAAGCACTTATAACAGACATAACGATATACATTTTGATCAAACTGCTATATTTGCAGTCCGTTTCCCGAATGACGAACTTGATGATTTTATGATCAATACTGGACCAAATTGAAGTCGTTTAGACACAAAATAAGACGCGTGAAAATAAGGCTTAAAATATTGCACTGTCCTTTGCAACGCAAAATGGGTGATTTATTTGGGCTTAGAGAGATGGGCTTAGAGAGATTGGCTATTGGTACCAGTTTAGCCTTTTACTTCATTTCTATTTAGGCAGGAGACCCAGTTATATTGATTATTATAATAATTAAAAATATAAATAAAGGTGTAAATTGTTGAAAAACTTCAGACTATCAGAGTTAATGATCTATTAGGCAACAAAGATAAGTAAACTGCATGCCAAAAAATCAAGTTAGAATATTTAGAGAGGTCAAGTGAAGCTTATGTTTTATTAACCTAACTTAGATGTATTGTAAGCAGATTTATGAGATATTTCCTTAACAAGAAACACATAACCGTTAACTGAATACTATTTATTTTGATTTCTTACAGCTCTACAGTGTGGGACAATTTGCAGCCTGGGAAGGAGTTTTATGTAAGTATTAGCCATGTTAATACAATGTTTTAAACTTAAAGTTTTAAAATCTAAAGATTACTTTTTTGTGTGTGGCTGTTTTTGTTATTTCTACAGAATTTTCTCTCTTCCACTGTCTGTCTGCTCATCTTTGTTGCTGTGGCTAACAGATTTTGTCATGTGTTTTTGTGTGTCATGTCTTTTTCAGTTTTGGTCATCGGTCCAAGGTTCCAGTACCACCTCAAAATCCCAGCCAAGTTAAAGGGATACTCTACTGGTTTTTCATATTAAACTATGTTATTCCCTTAACTAAGACGAGTTGATACATACCTCTCTCGTCTCAGTGCGTACACTACATCGCTGTCTTGCGGCGAAACTTTGTTAGATCTTATCTCAGCCCTGTTCATTCAATACGTGCCAAGAAGAGAAGCGACCAAACACCTCCACGTTTTGCCTATTTAAATACAGTTACACGAGTAGTGTAACTCGACCTAGGACGGTGACACAAAATAAAACGTTGCGCTTTTCTAAGCGTGTAAAATGGATAACATATTGTATGGCAGAAAACCATAGCAAGTGCTTGGGAGCACTTCGACTCGGCGCAGTAATATCATCTCTCGTGAAAAGTCCGCTCCCGTTGAAATGAGAGGGAGGAGGAGAGGGAGCGGGGGGAGAGGACTTTTCACGAGAGATGATATTACTGCGCAGAGTCGAAGTGCTCCCAAGCACTTGCTATGGTATTCTGCCATACAATATAGTTATCCATTTTACACGCTCAGAAAAGCGCAACGTTTTATTTTGTGTCACCGTCCTAGGTCGAGTCACACTACTCGTGTAACTGTATTTAAATAGGGAAAACGTGGAGGTGTTTGGTCGCTTCTCTTCTGGGCACGTATTGAATGAACAGGGCTGAGATAAGATCTAACAAAGTTTCGCCGCAAGACAGCGATGTAGTGTACGCACTGAGACGAGAGAGGTATGCATCAACTCGTCTTAGTTAAGGGAATAAGATAGTTTAATATGAAAAACCAGTAGAGTATCCCTTTAAGTATGTCCAGCTACAGCTGCAAGTCATGCAGTTTCTCAACCTCTCTCTTAAATGCGTTCACATGGTTTTAATAGTGTAATTGATCAATAAATTTTTTTTTGGACAAGAACATTGTTTGGATTGTCTTTTGATTTGCAGTTATTCTGAAGTTGCATTATAATATTATTGCCTATAGATTTATATACTGTAATAACTACATATTATATAGTTATAATATCATTAGTAATTTGAAAATTACAATGTTTTGCAATAATGTATCAATATATCAATATAGATATTACAGTACAATATCGTATAAATTACAACAGAAGCAGACAAAAATGACAAAATACAGTAAAAATACAGTACAATACTGTTTTGTAGTTTACAGTACTGTTCGTGTGTACTGTAAATTGAATTACAGTACAGTTACTGTAAATCGAAATACAGTACCTTGCTGGCAACCTTGCTGCCAGTACTGTACTGTAAAAATACAAGAAAATTGTTAACAGTGCAGGTAACAGGGATAATCAACAGATTCCTTTTCTTGAGTAATACTGAACACACCCATGTTAAGAAGTGTCACACACACACACACACACACACACACACACACACACACACACACACACACACACACACACACACACACACACACACAGGTGTTCCCAAATAATGTACGGATACACCCTGATGAATGAGAACTGACTTGATCTTTCCAACAAGCCCTTTAATTACCTGTCACAGTTTGCAACAAGAATATTTCATACTCATTAGGCGTGTTCAGATGGCGATGAACATGAAAAATCATGAAAGATTGGTAGAAACCTCAGTTTGTTTTCAGGCCAAGAGTTCAAAGGATAACAACAATTAAATTTTATGAGAAAAAAAAAGGTCTGAAAATGTTTTAAATATAAAGGAAAAAAATGATGGATTCTCAATTTGTGATGCGGCGGCGAGCTAACGCACATACGTGTTTT